GGCCCCGGCAGATGAACCTCAGGATTAAAGGGTGGGCTCAGTTCAGCGCACGCTGTGTCTCACCTAAAAAATCCACTGTGCAGGCTCGAAGGGTTAATGACCTTTCCCAAATCTTCGCTCGCGAAGACTGGCCATTATTATTATATATGATTTCATGCACTGGAAACTTGACAGAAGCCAGTCACCTATCTGAGAAAGGCAGTTTCCCAACTGAGCTGGGCACATCTGTGCTTTCTAACCAGCTGGCTATGCCCTGAAGCCATGCTGCATGTATTGTCTGAGTAGCCTGGCTGTGCTGAGATATACACAGTCCACTGGACTGCTCATCTTTGCTCTTCTTAATTCATTTTTTCACACTACTGAAGGAAACATTCCTTTCTCCCTGCCAGAAAGTTACTGGAATGACCTTCCAGGGGAAAAGAGCCAAAGAGAAGGAAGTATTCTCAGTAGCCTAATTAGTAATGTGTTCTCTTAACTGAATAACCATCTCTTCTCCATAGACCACTTCTCTCTTTGATATTTTAAAAGAAGAGGAAATTCTTAATTATCCCTTCAGTGCACATTTTTCTTCCTCGGGGCATGTATGAGATTTTTCAACAGTTCCTTAGCTGAGGTATGACTGTGTCTGCCCTGTTAGGAAGAAACATAATGGGAAGCAGTGTGCCAGTAATACATACACCTTAGTCCCAGTAACCTTATTGGGCTATTTTTCCTTTCTGTTCCTGAAGTTACACTGAACAAAGGCAATGCAGAGTGAATTCCAAGCCCTGGTCTTTCATTTGCAGTTTTAAAATACTTCTATGTAGCAAAAATCTCCCTGAGCATACAATGGAACTAAACAGCCTTCTATTTTATAAATGTTGGAGTTTGGACACCTGAGTTCTTTTCGAGGGACTGCTATGGAATATTTCTATGACATCCTAACATTAGGAGTCTCTCTGCATGTTTTTACTATTGCATATAGCTTAAACTAGTTTCTGAATAATTTAAAAGTTCTGTGCCACCTGGGATTGTAGTCCCCAAGTTTCTTCTGTTGGTGGCCAAATAGAAATACAATGATGTTACTATGTTTAATAGATTATCAGAGTCACTGTGAAGTAGAAATATTTTTACCTTACTAGTTTTTTTTGTTTTCATCAAAATATAGTAATGAAACAGCTGAAGAATTCCCATTAACATTTCAGTTTCTTGTAATAAGAATGCAAAAGAAACCCCTTGTGGTGCCATTGAAGGAGTTCTGTTTTAAATGGAAAACTTTTCCATCAAAGCATATGACCACATCTCTCAAGATATTAATCTGCTTCTGACTTAACAGGATGTTCTTTTTCTTCTCCTAGCCTTAGTTTGCCTATATAGTTCCTGTTTAGTACACGGTTAGTTATGGCCCTGTCATGCTTTGATTGAAGTCAGTGCCAATGCTGCTGTTAGGTGTGAGCAGGCCTTGCCTGCAGTATTTTAGAGAGCCTAATGCAGTCAATTCCCAAAATTTGGAAACAACAAATTACTTTATCAAGCTGTTCCTTTTTGTGTTTCTGTTCCTTAAACATGGTGCAGTGCTAGCAGAGTCTTCAGAATGCCTATCTTCCCATTAAGTTCCTTTTGGCTCCTATTTGACATTTTCCTTCAAATAGATAAGTGTTCTCTTCAGGTTGCATTCTCATATCTGTCTGTTTCTGTGACGTAGATGTGTTTTTCTTTTACGCTAACAGATGCAATTGTGTCTCAAGAACTGAGTTGCATTCCTTGCTCGTATGTCAAGTAGTGCTTAAGGTAGTGACTCAGTATGGCCACAGCTGGATGGCTTATAAGTACGAATAATAAGTACTTCAGCCAGGAACCTCTTGTGCTAGAAAGGATGAACATTACTCATGATTTGTTCTAGTGTTGCATGCACACATGAAAGGAATATTTTTTTTACTTTTCTTTGCTATGCTGTCCTTAAACATCACCTAATCAACTGTTTTAAATCCATAGGTAAAATCTCTGGCTACATCCTGTCCAGAAGAACTGAAAAAAGGAAATGTACTAGCCTGGCCAGATTTCCTGCCAGGAGTTGTTGGAAGAGTGAAGATAGATTACAAGAGTATATTTTGTGCTGGTTAGAACTTTACTTCCTAGAACCCTTTCTTTTTCCGAACAATATTATAAGACTCTTCTATAAAAGACGTCCACTATGCTAGCTTGAAGCCTTTGCCCTAGCCTCCGATAAATTACTTCGATAATTTGACAGTTAGAACATGCAGTTTTTCATTCCTCAAATTCCAGGGTTTTGTAACAAAAGTTCATTGAAATCTCTGATGGAGATTTATTGCTTCCTGAATTGAGATGAGGAAAGAGTGAAGATGGTGTTGGGTCAGAAAAAAAGTTTTTCATGCCTTTTATTCTAAAAATAATTGGATTATATTAAAATACCTACTGCCTCCTCCCTTCTTTTCCTGCAGATTCCTTTTCTGATGTTGAATGTTGATGATACCCAAAACCCATTGGACCCAAGCAGAATGTAGCATGCCTAATACTTCCCAGAGTTCTTTCCTTGATAAACTTATACAGGATCAAACAATCAGATAACAAATTTATTCATTCAGCACATATCTGTGTCTCTCACTGTATGCATATATTTTGTCCACAGACTGTCCATCTTTGCAAGGATCCATACCACATCTGCGGGCCTCTTCTGCTGATTTAAAGCCAGGGTCAAAAGTGAGCCTTTCCTGTGATCCAGGCTTCCAAATAGTGGGAAACTCTGTTCAATACTGCCTTAACCTGGGACAGTGGACACGGCCTTTTCCCCGCTGTGAAAGTGAGTTGTCTCAGTGGGTTGACAGGATTAAGTAACCCTAACTTTTATTTGGACCCTGTCATTATTCATGGCCTGTTTATTTCTGCAGCTATCGTGCACTTGAATCATCCATGTTACATCATATACATATATGCTTAAAACTAAACTCATGTTTTACTGAGCAGAAACTATATCACAATCAGATTCATACATGTTTTTCAGTCAATTTCTAATGCTCAGGACAGAAATGAGTGCATTTGCACCACCAATCTGGTACTCACAGCTTTCCTCCCCAGTGGCATCAGGATGTGGAAGATGCACAGGAAGTGCTAGAATTTCTATGGAATTTTTAAATCTCACTGAGAATATCTGATTTGAAGTAGAAGCCTTGACTTTAGTATGTTATGAACTAATTTCTTTAAAGGCAGCAGACTTCGAAGTACTCCAAGACTTACAGTATTTCTTCTAAGGAACTGGGCTGTGTCCATTCAGTTTGCCACGTTTCTTTTGATTCTATGGTTCCTGCTCCTTTCTTCTCCTTTGCCTTGGTTCTCCTCTGCTGTGACTGCACTTGTGACTGCAGTTGCATGTGTTGGACCTGATTACATTTATCATTTCAGCATAATAATAAATTACCTCTAGAAGTAGGTATTGCATGATCCCAGAATTTATACACAGTTTGGAGAAAATCATCGAATCTGTTAAAAATGCCTTTAAATTAGTTTGATCTAAGTTTGATGTGATTTTAATGTCTTCTTCTTTATTCAGTTGTTTATAGCACAAGTCCATGCTCTTTCTCATGTTCTGCATAAAGAATAGTGTGCCTGTGAGGATTTACCCAAAAACAAGTCCTGCTGGGCAGAAGGAAAGTTCACTGGCAGAGACAGCTTTGCACTTTCTTGGTGTGTGATAAAGGACAAGCCACCAGAATCCTGTTAGTGTTTCTGTTTTCTCTGTATTGGGGCAGACAGCTGAGCTCAGGGGGTTGACATGCCACAAACATGCTGAGTGAATGAAGGCCAGACTCACCCACTGGCCTTTCCTTTCAGCCTGTTCCACAAGTACCTGATGAATGAAAGTTGGTTGAAGATACCCATTTCCTTCACAAGCAACTACAGGCTTTATAGTGGACTGTGTGGTACTGAAAAAGTACTGACTAAATCAGGCTCAGTGTAATCACTGTCTTCACCCACCAGGATCCTTTTCCTCTTCCTGCTACCAAAGGCTCCCAAAACCACAGATTCCTGACAGCCCATCTTCATTACAGGCTTTTCAGCTCTATTCCTCTGCAGCAAGCACTTGGCTTCCATTACCACGGGCTTTAAATTATTCACAGTGTCTTTGCACACAGCTAGGGAACAACGAGTTACTGTAATCCATTTAGTTACAAAGATGAGTAGTGTAGCTGTTGGAATAAATTCATATCATCTCAATTGGGATGCACAGCAGCAGCTCTGCTAGAACAAGTAGCAGCCTCTGGCAGGCAGGTACGGGAGTGTCTTCTGCTGGCACAACTGAGATCAGAAGGGCTTATTTACTATAGTCAATCAAAGTGATGCCGAGGGTTGTATGTGAGGTCACTTCCAGTCTCTCCATTGTTCATGGATTACCTGGTCTCAGGCCAGTACTGTAACCTCTCACCTACTGTTAGCTACTTTTGCAACTTTCGAACGCAGTAACACTAAGCTTGCTTTTCAATGAAGGGAAATAACAGCAATCTCCATGAAGGCTAACTTAATTTTCATTTTCCCTTAAAACTCACCAACCATCAATGACTATTAGAACTGTCCTATATCTGAACGGCATCTGCTCAGACCTCAGTCACAAATGTCTCCTCCAGAGCTATCAAAACTCTCTTAGCAGGAGCTAAAGAGTCCTGCTAAGTCTCTTATTGACAAGTGCCCACAAAACAAGACCCTCCACCAGACTTGGAACCAATTAGCTACCTCGGGAAAGGACTGGGGCCTCTTGCCAATGGGATTCCATAGCTACAGAGAAAAAAAATCCAGCAGTGGCTCTCATGTGGAATTATTCTGAAGTTGATCTGTGTTTGCTGTGCTAATATCTGTGCTCTCTTTTTGCTCGTGTTGCAGGAATCAGCTGTGGAGTGCCTCCGACTTTAGAAAATGGATTTTATTCAGCTGAGGACTTTTTTGCTGGCAGTACTGTTACCTATCACTGCAACAGTGGCTACTATTTGTTGGGTGACTCCAGGATGTTGTGCCTGGATAATGGAAGCTGGAATAGCATTTCGCCATCTTGCCTTGGTGAGATGTGCCATACATTTGGCTGCATGCAGTGATGATCTTACACTTCTCCTGTGCCGTTAGGTTTGAGTGGGAATTCATTCTGAAATTGTGAAGACTTACCAGAGTCACAGAATCATACTCCAAAATACTAACTTTTCTGAAATGCCATGCTCAGCATTATGTGAAACCAAAACTGTATTCTGACACCTTTGTCCATCCTCTTGTATGCCACATACCCTACATGTATGAAATATATACTTAGTAAGCCAGCATTGCACTCCCAGCCTCTCTCCTTCCAGATCTTGCAGTCCTTGCTTTCTGTGCTTATGGCCTGTGCATTTCACCATGCTTCAGCATGTTGTCAGTGTCCTGTGCTCTTTGAACAGGTTCTTTTAGATGTTTCACATACGGAAGTTGTAGTATTTAGTATCAAATTTACTCACTTGAAGATAGTTGATACTAGGATAGTTGATGATAGGATTTGTGATTAAAGAGAGTGATACTAAATGTACTGTATAACATAATGGAAATAAATGCAAGTTACGCTTGACATAATACAGTAATTGCAATACACAGTTCAGTCACAATTCCAATGTGTTTCCCACTATCAAGCTCTATAATATATTCACTGTCATGACATTGCACATCACCAGTAGCTGGGAATGAATGTGTGGATTAAAGTCAATTCAAGCTCATTGCTAGTTGTCTGGCATTTACATTTCATGTTGACCTGAGCCACATATTCAGTTGCCCCCGCAATGCATATCTAGCTAACTCAGGAAGGCAGTCACACTCTTTTGATGAACTCAAGGAGAAGCACTTACACCACCAGTTGATGCACTCAACTGATGATAGCTGTTTACATAAAAGAAAGGCCACAATCCTGTCCCCTTAGTCCCTGAGCTTCATGGGCAGATCACCTTTGCTGAAGTTCTCTGAGCCTTCTTTCCGTTGTGGGGGTTTATTGGTCAGTCACACACGCCTGTCAGGAAGCAGCTGCAGCATTGAGAGGGCTGGGAGTGCCCTCATGGACACAGGTCACATAGTTGCCACTCTGTAACTTACCTGCTGGTGAGCCGGGTCTGACGTACCAGGTGCAGTGGCACAAGCTGAAAGGTGAGACAGACTGGCGTGGTACTGTGTACAGGGGATTAGGTGTCGCAGGTCTTGCAGGGCCATGTCTCCAGCACATCCTTGCTGGAATCCACTAGCTAGTTGTGCTTGAATTGCTGCTGTCTTAGTCATGCCTGAGATGGGAGTTGCACAGTAAAAGTCTGTGTGAAAAGCCACAGTAAAAAATCAAATGTGTGTTTGATTTGACTTAATTCTGTTTAGGTATAATAATGGCCAGTCTTCGCTAGCGAAGATTTGGGAAAGGTCATTAACCCTTCGAGCCTGCGCAGTGGATTTTTTTTTTAGGTGAGACACAGCGTGCGCTGAACTGAGCCCACCCTTTAATCCTGAGGTTCATCTGCCGGGGCCAAGCAAACTTGGACAGTGGCAGTGAGGTCCCCAGGACGTAGGTTTGTTTAGAGTGACCTTCTCTTAGATGGATTGCCTCACAGGGCTGACGAGCTCCATCTGCCCGGGGGGCCGGGAATCGAACCCGGGTCGCAGCGGTGAGAGTCCTGCACCCTAACCACTAGACCACCAGAGGCCCCTCTGTTTAGGTATAGCACCTAATTTTTTCAGTCTTGACAAGAGAAAGAAAAATGTCAACAGGGTTTATTCTGTCAAAATTCACTTTGGAGTAGGTTCCATCTGGTTTCATAGCATCCTGTCCACTGGCACTCCTTCAGAACTTGCAAATAGATCATCCAGACTGTTGTTCCTCTCTGCTTTTCTCCTTTTCACTTTATCCCAGGGCCTAATGAAGAGCAAGTTCAGATCAGGTGCCACAGGGCTGTCAGAATAGTTCAGCCTCTGTGCAGTAGGAGGCACCATGTTCAGAAGGAAAAGGCCTGTGCCCCACCTTCCAGCTTGCCTTATCTCTCATAAAGCATAATGAGAAAATGAAAACAAGAGTGGCTTTGGCACCCTGATCCACACTTTTACCCTTCTGATTCACACTTTAGGCAGGTGCTAACGAAGCCTAGTACACCTATGCCCTGGAGCATTCCTTTTGCTCTGTTATGGGTCTGATTCACAGTGTATTTCTACTTCATTGCCTTAGAAGACATTACAGAAGAAGCAGTCATTCCAGTTCTGCTGTAGTAGCACTTTGCATTCTCCTGGTGCTTGTGTAATTGGCAATTGATATTAATGTGCAGTTGTCATCCTGCATATCAGAAAGAAACTCCTTTTCTTTTCAGAACATTGTTGTGCTCTTTTCATGCTGGTCAGACTCATTCAGCAGTAAAGAATAAACACACCAATTCAGCAATTGTGCCGCTTTTTTAACCAAGTTGCCTGTTTTTGCTGCAAATTGGCAAAGAACCCGGGCTGTATGACTGCATGGTATACTTATATCAACAGGTGTCCTCTAGCAGGTCATGTAGATGAAGAGTTGTTCTAGCAGTCTCATATATATAAACAGTAATCCCTATTGCCAGCACTTTTCAGTTAGATACTTTGAAACTGACTCTTTGCAATGTTGACCCAATGTTTACATAGTTTACATACTAAGGACGTTTCTTTACAGTTAAGATCAAAAGCTGATGTGAGGTATTCTGGAGAGAGGTTTTTTTTGGTTGTTGGTTTTGTTTTGATTTGGGGTTTTTTTCTGTACCATATCAAACCACATGGATCATTAATCATCAATTGTCATTTTTAGGCTACTACTATCATGTAAATAATTATTTATAATAACTAATATATTTTGAACTCATTTTAACTTTTCTGGCAACTGCCGGCACTTCTTATGCCTAGTCTAATGCAATGCTCTTCAGCAAAGATGGAGCTCTAATATTTTTTGTTCAGAATGTTGATATATACAGGATTTCCCAAGCAAGTGTTTAATGCAGAAATCCTCCCTCATAGTGTCTGTCCAGACTACTAGTAACAATAGTTACAATACCTGTTCTTTTGCAGTTTGGAAACTAGATACTTTTTGTGGAAGTGCTTACTGAAAGTTAATAAGTTTTATCTTTGATTTTCTCATGTTTGATGATACTGTATAGTAAGTTATAATTAAAGTTATAATGTAACTATAGTAAGTTATAAATATTTATTTAAATATTAAATCTTTTTACCAATGGATAAAAAATGTGATTGCAGTATGAATGATTTTTAATTATGCTAAATTAATTCCTTTTGATAGTGAGACAAATTTAAAGCAAATACTTATTACAAGTAACACACATCTTTTTTGTTGTGGGTTTGTTTTGGGGTTTTTTTTAGATGTTGATGAATGCGCTGTTGGATCAGACTGCGACGAACATGCATCTTGTCTCAACACAAATGGATCCTATATTTGCACTTGCATCCCTCCTTACACAGGAGATGGTAAAAAGTGTGCAGGTATGGGAAAGAAAAACGTCAGGCTAACCTTTCCAAGGTTCTGTATAGGCCAGTATCCTGCCTCCCACTATGGAAGACAGTTGCCAGTAATTGATGTCTAGGACATGCTCTCATGTCCAGGTCACTTTGTACTGGATGAGGCTATGATGAAGTGTCTCCTTTTGTTTTTTTGAGAACTCATCTCTCCATACAGACAGAGATGTCACTGGGATTCTGCTCCAAGACATACACACCTGCTAAATGTTCTTGCACATGGAGCACAAGACCTGGGAAGGCCACAATGTGTCACTTCTCAAGAGCAGACCTGTGCAGTGAAGAAATGTTTTAATACAGGCATCTGAGTAGGTCTAGAGCTGCTTGTGAAAATATTAAACAAGATAATTTGGATGAAGACAACAAGACAGTGGCATGGGTTGAAGTAAAAGGTAGCTGAGCTGATTTCTTGTTTAGAAATGGACATGCTGAAATGGGCTTTCCCTCGCAGAGGGAAAAATTGCTGTGAGATGTGTTTGCTTCTAACAATGAATGCAAACTGAGTTACAGAGTGCTCTTCCATGTCAAGATCAGCTTACTTGCATGAGTCTTCAGTGTTTGTCACTTACATATAGAACAGAGAAAAGCTGGTAAGGCTGTAAACTACTTATGAGTGTTTTCCATGTGCTTTGCCTTCCTACTTTTAGAAAATTCCCAAGGATATCTCCTGCAATTTGTTTATAAAACCTGACACAGTTATATTAATCATAGTTTCTCTCTTCCTCAGAACCAATAAAGTGCCATAATCCAGGAAATCCAGAGCATGGCCATTTATATGGGGACACTCACAGTGTTGGCAGTGAAGTAACGTTTTCCTGCAAAGAAGGATTTCAGCTGACAGGGGTGACAAAACTTACGTGCCTGGAGTCCGGAGAGTGGAGCCACCCAATACCATATTGTGAAGGTGTAGTTCCTGGGGAGAATGCATATTGTAATGTGACTCTTTAGAAAGATGTAAGAGGGAAAGTAGTTGTGTAGAGCCTTTAGAGACCATGGCAGCTTATGAGAAACCCTGTCTTAGCGGATCGGGGTCTCAGTGTTGAAGTCTCTGTTGTCTTAAGAGGTGTAAGCACAGTTGTCATATTTGTAGTGGTACTCTCTTATGCAGATTCACCATTGTGACAAAGTTATAGACTCATTTTAATGCAAGTGTTAAAAATATATTTCTTCTCCACCCAGCCTCCCATTTTCAAGGAACTTGAGGGAACTTCATGACTTAAAGATCATTACCTGTTTTTCAGTGGATAAAAAGCATTCAGAAAGGACAGGATGGTGCATGTACATATTCATGGTGTAATTGCAGAAATTGTTTTTTTAGAAAACCAGAATAAATGAGGTAAAGCAATAGGGTAAAATGAAGAGGTGACAGAGACTATGTCAAAAAAAAAACCCAAACAAACCCAATTGGTTACTTTGTCAATAGAGAGGGGTGGATATGGAGTCCTCTTGAGAGTCAAGCATATGATTTGTAAAGCAGTTATAACTAGCTGCTTCCAATTAGTTCAATCTCTCAGTAAGGTGAAGTCAGATAAAGAGTCCTAAATGTCGTTTATAGCTTAATCAAGAACTCAGTGTTGCCTAGGGCTTTACGCCTCTTCAAACCTACTTAGGGAAAACAAAGCAGATCCTGATTTTCTGTTCTTTTGTACTTGTATTGTATCAACCTGTCTTGTATTCCCATCTTTTTAAAGCTATATCCTGTGGTGCTCCAGTTATTCCAGAGAACAGTGCCATTTTCGGCTCAAATTTTACATACCACAGTAAAGTGGTGTACAGGTAGGAATTCACTATGTTTGAAGTGCTGTGTTAATAACTGATTGAGAATGTGGCAGCAAATACGAGTATGGCTGAATTGAGAGAAGGATCAAAATGAAGGAGAGGAGCAAGATGGGATTAAAGTAATAGAAAGACATTTGTTTATAGCTGTGCCTGTTCATTAGCAGAGCTAAATGTTTACTCTAGTACCACTTTTCTATGTCCTGCGGAGCAAGGTGGTTTATGCAGGTGTGGATGAAGAAAGAAAAGGAATGACTGATAATGTTGTGCATAAAAGGCTCTGTGTTTGATAGCACTTTTTTTTTTCCTAACTCAGATGCAATGATGGGTACAACTTAGTGGGTGAGAAGGAAATTCTGTGCCTTGCTAGTGGCGTTTGGAATCATCCTCCCCCCTCCTGTGAAATGGTGACGTGCCCTAGTCCCCAGGATATCAGCAATGGAAAATACATTCTCAGTGGCACAGCCTACCTTTCCTCTGTGTCATACACCTGTGACAATGGATACAGGTAAATGCAGGAACATTCCTGAGCCATATTCAGGCAGCATGCTTGCAAGAAGCTCTACCTTATGTCTGAGAGAGACAAAACTGGAATTGCTCAGGAAGATAAAATACTAAAACAGAATTGAAAAAGACTTCTTTATATCTTGAAGGTACTTTCTGTATTTTATCCTGAATTGGTGCAGTTCAGAAAAGTCACTCAGGAATTGCTATATACATATATATGTGATGCTTGCATTTTATCATCAAGCTCAGAAAAATATTTTGAATATTCAGAAAAATAGTTGTCATAATTCTTGAAAGTTCTCATTTGTCTTTAAAGATCATCATACCCCTACAGCTGTAGTGCACATCCAATATTATTTTTTATATTCTTTTACAATGCCTTTTATGAAGGAACCTTCTGGAAGCTACTAATTCACTCCTTGAACTCTTAGTAGTAGTAATTTATTCTAGGCTTTTATTCTGTTTTACATTTGTAAGCAGTTATATTGGAAACACTTTTTTAATATGCTGCAATTAAAAATTAATACAGTAATGCTATATCCAAGGATGTGACTCTTAAGTATGGGTTTCTACCTCGCCTGATATCTTCTTGTACCTCTAGCAGATACACCCTGACAAAAGTGGTCTCACACAAACCTGTTTAGGTTTGATTTTTTCTGTGCTTTCCTGCTGCAAACATTTCCTTGTCCTGATGCAGGCAGGTAGGTGAGGTGTGTTCTTTCAGCGAATGTTTTAATCATGTTAAAACAAATGGATTCCTCAGCTGCAGTTGAGTGTAGTGTTGTCACAGATTCACATTGTGAGCTTATCTGTATCCCTCTAAACCAGGCAGTGTTTTTAACAATACGAAAGAGGTTTTTTGACTGTGGACTTTGGACATATAGGAAGAAAATACCACATCAGTTTTGACTCTTTTCCTTTACCTGTCTAACACAGCTTGATGAGAGAGGTCTTCTCTACTGTGGTCACCATTCCAGAGGAAGCCCTCCCAGACAGTGTCTGTCTTATGCGTTATTTCTGTATGTCTCTTCCTTCACGCACCTCTTAGGTGTTTTCAGTCTTAAACATATTGCCACAGGTAGGCAGAGCCCACTTCCCTGACAAGGACCTATGCCAAAGCTGTAAGGGTCACACAGGTCAGTGTTGCTCTTTTCCATTAACTGTTCATCCTGGAGAAGAGGAGACTGAAAGGAGACCTCATCACAGTTTACAACTTCCTCATGAGGGGAAGAAGAGGCACAGGCACTGATCTCTTCCCAGTGGTGGCCAGTGACAAAACCCGAGGGAATGGCCTGAAGTTGTGTCAGGGGAGGTTTAGGTTGGATATTGGAAAAGGGTTCTTCACCCAGAGGGTGGTTGAGCCCTGGAAGAGGCTCCCCAGGGAAGTGGTCACAGCACCAAGCCTGACAGAGTTCAAGAATTGTTTGGATGATACGTCAGATACATGGTGTGACTCTTGGGGTGGTCCTGTGCAGGGTTAAGAGTTGGTTAAGTCATGTTAGAAGGGAGCCCTTCTAACTCAGCATATTCTGTGATTCTGTGATTTCAGTCAACTAAACATGGGGGTCTAATACCATTTGAGACCAACCTGTAGGGAATCAGACACTCCTGTGAAGGGCTCCCTGGTATGATGCGGGACCTATGAGGAACCCATAGCCAGCTGACGTAGCAGTTGGAGGCCCAGGGTTTCACCCAGGACATCTCAGAGTGGTGTTGCACACCTCTGTTCAGACAGCTGCATCACACCTCTTGAACCAATGCATTGCTATTTCCTCAGCTAAGGAAACAAAAAAAGACTATCAACTTCAAATGTTGTGGCCATTCACTCAAGCAAAATCCTTTACCTCCTGAAGGTTTGGGGTTTTTTGAACAAATCTGAGCTGGAGTTTCTTTTGGTCTTCTGGGTGAAGATAGTGATATAAGTCCTTGAGTGAACAGGGTCTCAGATGGAGGCCTAGTTGTAAGTTTAAAGCCTGGTATGGTGCTGATGGCATACAGGTAAATTTTTCGGATAAAACAAATATTTATTTCTTTTGTGCTCAAAGATGGGGAAAGCTACAGCAAGACTTATGTATGTCTGCACAGAACATTGATGGCCCACACAAAATCCACCAGCTTTCTCTTCAAAGTAATCTGGAGACAAGCTTTTTTTTAAAAGCGTCAGAGTGCTTTTTCATAAACAGAGGGTGAGATTCTGGCCTCTGCTGAAGTCAGTGAGAGAGGCCCCTTGGTTTCACTGGGGCCAGGAAGCAAAACACCTCTCTTGCTCTCTGTTCCTCACTTGGAATGAAATGGCAGCCTTAATAATGATCTTTGTGTCTCAGCCTTCAGGGGCCTTCTGTACTTGTCTGTGCATCTTCAGGGAACTGGAACAGCACACCACCAGCTTGCAACATTGTGTCTTGTGGATCCCCTCCTGCCATCAAAGATGCGGTCATCAACGGAGATAACTTTACTTTCGGAAACACGGTCTCTTACACGTGTAAGGAAGGGTATGTAGATTAGCACTACTAAGAGTCAGGACAAGTAAAACTGGTGCACTGTTTCACAAATCCTGTATAACCGCATACTAATTCATTTTTACTACTTCTGTCTTAACTTTCTGGAAGTTAAATGTGATGGAGATTTTTTTTTTGAGGGCTGTCAAGTTGGTATGATTTTTTTTAAAGTTGTTTCAGGGTAGCTGAATACACTCTGGAAGAGGAAAATGGAGAGTGGTCATGGGGAATGATAGATCAATTCACTAGGAAGCTCTTTTCCTTGGAGATACTACAGAACTAGTACTTCTTTGGTAAACCCAAGGCCCTGATCATAAGAAGTCCCTTATGTCTCATTAGGCTGTAAGATCACTGTTTGGTGCAGTGGTGCAGTTTAACAACTATTTGTTGTGGTGTTCTAAAATTCTGCTTCCTTAAAATTATGACTCCTTTTTTATTGAGGTGCACTGTTTTTCATTTATTTCTATCTACTCGGTGTAGTGACCTTTTCAGACCATATCATCAATGATGAGGCTCAATTTTGATGATATTGAGGATGAATGTACTGCTGGACTCTGATCTTGCAAGAACCTTTGTACGTGGTTATCTTTACAGCTTGTGAGCAGTTCCACTAAATTTCCTGAAACTGCTCTGCCTCAAAGGCAGGTCACGTATGCAGAACTTTTTAAGCCTGAAGTGACTGGAGGATTTTCTACTCCTTCTTGGTGTTAAAGGTTATATTGACAAGCCAGCATTTTTCTTATAAATTTGTTTTGCGGTATTATTTGAAACATATACCCTGAGATAAGCTCAGTTGGTTAGAGCATGGTGTTAATAACACCAAGGTTGTGGGTTCAATCCCTGTATGGGCCATTCACTTAAGAGTTAGACTCGATGATCCTTGTGCGTCCCTTCCAACTCAGAATATTCTGTGATAATTGAAGCAAAGTATCCTTATTCTGTTTTCTAGCCTGTATTATGGTTTTAAAAGCTGCTTCTCTTTCCTGTGGAAGCATTTTAAATGGGATAGGATAGCAGCATTTAAGGACTATCACAGCTGTCTGTCTGTGACAGTGGATCATATTAAACATTGGCATATAGTAGGCTCTTTTTCCAGAGTCCAGTCATGAGGTGTGGAAAACAAATCCTGCGAACAAGACAAACTGCTTTTACAGATGTTGCCACCAAAATCTGGACAACTAGTTTCCAGCCTGCAGTTGGAAAGTCACTGGGAGCACTGCAGTAGTTATTGTTTCTTTGCTTTCTGTGAAAGCACACCACAGAGATCTCAAAACTAAAGGAAATAGCTGTCAAAGGTACTACACTATTGCCTGGTGCACGTTTAAGCAACAGTTTTAAGTGCTCTGATGAGGAGTGTGGAGTAAGGCCTGTCACTGCCTCCCAGAGACAGATTAGAGAACTACTACACTAACAATATTCATGTAATAGAATTTCATTGTAAAAGATGAGGTTTTTCCTACTCAGCATTAATTTTTTAATTAACTTTTATTACAATTTTTACAGTGAGTTTTTAGGAAGAAGCTATTATGCAATTCCCTTGTGTATTATTGGAAAGAGTATCTCTGGGTAACTCACTGAAGGGCTTCTCTTTGCTGACAAGTGTGATAATAGATTGATAGGGCTGGTACAGGAACCCAAAAGGCCTTTATGGGCTTTTGATCTCTTTCTTCTCCATTCAGTTTTGCTAAACAGGAGTAATTTCTTGGTAGGATTATTTCTTTGAGGATTGTATGGACTGTTGCAGCACAATGCTAGGGTTTTTATGGTAGTTCCAACCTAAATGGAAGTTCAGAAATGGTAATCATGTGGACAGATGAGAGAGAAGCAATATATACAAGGTGTGCCATGATATCCATCGTTGTGATATCTCACTCATAGATATGTGGGTTTTAAGATTTTCCTTTTGAAGTTGATCATAGCTTTTTTAAAGGATCCTGTTCTTCTGGGGTGCTAGCAAACAAGCTCATACTGCAGGGGCTTCAGGAAACCATAAGTAGTGTTTGACAATGTTTGTCTTTTTTACTTCCTATCCACAGTTACACATTAGTTGGCCCTGCAACCATAGAGTGCTTAGCCAGCGGCAAGTGGAGTGTGAGCCACCAGCAGTGCTTGGCAGTATCCTGTGATGAACCACCCCATGTGGAAAATGCATCACCAGAGAGTGGCCACCGCCTCTTTGGTGACATAGCTTATTACTTCTGCTTGGATGGTTACAGCCTGGCTGACAACTCTCAGCTGCTCTGCAATGCAGAAGGGAAGTGGGTGCCTCCAGAGGGCAGGGACATGCCCCACTGCATAGCTGATTTCTGTGAAAAGCCATCCACCGTCTCATATAGCATCCTAGAGTCCATTAGTAAAGCCAAGTTTGCTGCTGGCTCCATCGTGAGCTTCAAGTGCATGGAAGGCTTTGTTCTGAACACTTCGGCGAAGATCGAATGTCTTCGAGGGGGCCAGTGGAATCCTTCTCCTCTGAGCATCCAGTGCATCCCCGTTCGTTGCGGAGAGCCTCCCCACATTACCAATGGTTATGCCAGTGGGTCCAACTACAGTTTTGGAGCAGTGGTGGCTTACAGCTGCAACAAGGGGTTCTACATCAAGGGAGAGAAGAAGCGGACCTGTGAGGCCACTGGCAACTGGAGTGGCACTTTGCCCACATGCCACCCAGTGTCCTGTGGAGAACCACCGCAGCTTGAGAATGGCTTTGTTAAGGTACAGAATGAGTTTTTTCATCTGCCTGGTACCATGGCAAACTGAATACACTGAATACACTTTCACAACTGCTGCTGTTGAGGTTTTCTTTTTTCTGTTTTGCTCTCATTATAAAATTGAGGAAGCACATAAATGAATGGAATAAAAACGGGGGAAAGTGGGTGGATTTGCAGCAGAATCATATCTGAAAAACATGGAGACTTCCGTGAGAATCCTGTAATAAAGTGAGATTTCAGTTAGGAGACTCAAGATCCCCTGTGACATTCAATTGATTTCCTTAATGTCTTATTCTTCATTTATTTGGTTCACGGGTAGCTTTCCAGTACCTTCTAGAGGCACTTGAACTGTTGCCAGTTCACAAGCCTTGCTCTTTTAACTGCTATGAAAAAAGTCTGATTTGCAATAGATAAATCACCTTGGGATTTCTCATCTTTCAATGTGAGAATACTTCTTTACTGAAGTCAGAATTTCCCTTTCCTTATCAAATTACATTGCAACAATGCCTGAAGTTAAAAATCTCCTTGTGGCAGCCCAAACCAGTAACAACTGCTTAACCTGTGTTTTGCTTTGATATACAAGGATAATATTGTGGTAAGGAAGATCAAAAACACTATTATAAAGATTGAACTTTGAATTTTTGAATCATTTTTCTACTGAACATCCCTCATCCTTCCTTAAATCTAACTACCAGATTTGCTAAAAGTTGGAAGGGGAGCAATTGGCATCCCGGTTCCTATGTGGGTTCCCAGTAGTAATAGCAACAATTTCTGTTCAGACTCCCACAGAGATATGTCCTCTAATTAATGCATATCATTCTGTTTTGTCTTCCTTATGTAGGATCACTCCTTCATATATTTTTTACAATTAGAGACATTTTTTAATACCTCAGTCAGAGCTCAGCCTGCATCTTTGAGGTGCTCCTCAGCTGCCTGCTGAAGGCCCTGCACCTGCGTGTATGGCATTTATAAACGTCTCCTTGTAGCTGTACATTTGAGGGCTCCAACCTTAGGTACAGCTGTAAGCTAAAGAATCATGACAACAATAGGCCATTTCATGGCAGCTTCTCCTGACCCATTTCTTTTCCATCTTCCTGTCCACACATTTTTTGGCTTCATGGGTCAGGAAGGGAGAAAGCAGGGGAATTATTTTCTAGCTTTTGCTTTTTAAGCCTTGAATTTTCTGTTTTCTTCTGGTAGTGCTCTCAGATTTCCTGACAGCAGAGTGCATCATTTGAGGTGAGACATTCTTTGTCAGTTATTTGCTTTCATTCCTTTTCAGACATCCTTTACGGCTGCCAAGGATTCAGCTAGAAGCTAGACCAGGAGAACACAAGAAATTAAATCAGTCTTCTGTTGCCATAATCTTATGTCTTCATTTCAGACGTGTCCCTGTCTTGTCTGTTTTGCAGGAAACAACTGGACACTTCTTTGAGAATCAGGCAAATTATCAGTGTGAGTCTGGTTACCAGATGGTTGGGAGCTCAGTGTTTATCTGCCAAGCAAATCGGCAGTGGTACAGTGAGTCACCTCCTTACTGTGCTCCCCTCAGCTGTGGAAAACCACCACCCATCCAGCATGGCTACTCCAAGGGAGAAACTTTTGATATGGGCTCCAAAGTAGAGTTTTTCTGTGATGAAGGCTATGAGCTGATTGGAGATGTTTCCTGGACATGTCAGAAGTCTGGGAAATGGAGCAAAAAGCGAAGCCCCAAGTGTGTGCCAACAAAATGTCCAGAACCACCCTTGGCAGAAAATCAGCTGGTCTTGAGGGAAGTGACCTACCAAGTCGGTGTTATACAGTTCTCCTGCAAGGAAGGTTATGTTTTGCATGGCTCCTCTGTACTAAAATGCTTGCCCTCCCAGCAGTGGAATGATTCCTTTCCCTTCTGCAAGGTTGTACAGTGTTCTGCACCTCCCTATATCCCCTTTGGTGACCCCTTGACTTCATCCCTTCATTTTGGTAGCACTGTGAAATACATCTGTGTGGATGGGTTTTTACTGAAGGGTGAGTCCACCATCAGATGCCAGGCTGATGGCTCATGGAGCTTGCCTTTGCCAGAATGTATTCCTGTGGAGTGCCCCCAGCCAGAAGAAATTCAGAACGGCATAGTTGATGTGCAGGGCCTCACCTTCCTAAGCACAGCCCTCTATACATGTAAACCAGGCTTTGAATTGCTAGGGAACACAACTGTCCTCTGCGGAGAAGATGGACAGTGGCTTGGAGGAAGGCCAGTTTGCAAACCTATTCAATGCCCAAGGCCTAAGAAGATCCTCAATGGCAAATATTCATTCACAAACTTCCATTATGGGCAGACGGTTAGGTATTTCTGTGACAGAGGTTTCCAGCTCCAAGGGGAGGAAACGCTGAGGTGCCTAGAAACAGGAGAGTGGAGTACAGAGGTTCCCTCTTGCAAAGCCATAAATTGCCAACCCCCTCAGCCCATTGAGAATGGTTTTGTGGAGGGTGCAGATTATAGCTACGGGGCCATGGTCATTTACAGCTGTGTGCCAGGCTTCCAGCTGTCTGGCCTTGCCATGCAGACTTGTGAAGAATCGGGCTGGTCTAGCTCCACACCAGCCTGCCTTCCAACAGACTGTGGCCTACCTCCTCACATTGACTTTGGGGAGTACGTGCAGCTGAAACATGGGGAAAGACGTTCTGACCAGGAGGGTGTTACAGAGAGTCCCTCCCTTTCTCTTACGTTGTTGGCTGACAATTTGAAAGACTTCCAAAGTTCCTTGAAGGAGGACAGTGCAATGCAGCTCACCACTTTCTTATTTGGAACTGTCATTTTATACACATGTTACTCTGGCTACGAGCTGCTAGGAAACCCTGTTCTAGCTTGCCAAGAAGATGGGGCTTGGAACGGTACTGCCCCCGCCTGTGTTTCAATAGAGTGCACCTTGTTGTCACCCCCAGAGAATGGTTTTTTACATGTCACTGAGAACACGCTCGGCAGTGCCGTGCAATATAGCTGTAGGCCAGGATTCACACTCATTGGCTCTGACACACGACTGTGTTTGCCAAGTCGGCAGTGGAGTAACACTGCTCCGTACTGCAAAGCAATAACGTGCAATTCACCTGCCCAGCTTATGAACGGGAAGATAAGAGGGGGAAACTACACATATGGTAGTGTTGTCTACTATGAGTGTGATCCTGGTTACCAGTTAAATGGCCCCACAGAGAGGAGATGCCAAGAGAACCAGAAATGGGATGGCAATGAACCGATCTGCATTCCTGTTTCCTGCAGCCCACCACCAGTTTTGGAAAATGGTCAGGTGACTGGAGAGGAGTACACATTCCAGAAACACACAGAGTATAGCTGCAATGAAGGTTTCCTGTTAGATGGGGACAGGAGTAGAGTCTGCCTTGCAAATGGAAGCTGGAGTGGAATCACTCCAGTTTGCAGAGCTGTAACCTGCCCCATGCTGCTGCCTCTTCCCAATGGAAGAACTATTGGCTCAGATTTTAGCTTTAAGAAAGAAGTGCACTATCGCTGCAATGAAGGATATAGCCTGCAAGGAGTGTCTACGCTTACCTGCCAGAGTGATGGTACTTGGAATTCAGAAGCTCCACACTGTGAACCAGTTATTTGTGGACCCCCTGAAGACATCTCCCATGGCTTTCTGAATGGCTCAGGCTTTACCTATGGGCAATTTGTCCAGTATGTGTGCTTCCCCAGTTATGAGCTGCATGGCAATCCTTTACGGCAATGTCTGTCCAATGGTTCCTGGAGTGGAAGCCTTCCATCTTGCCTACCCTGCCTGTGTCCTACACCACAGATTCAGAATGGGGTCGTTCTTGGTACAGATTTCAGCTGTGGGATAAGTGCTCAGTTTCAATGCCTGGAGGGCTTCAAACTGCTGGGGCCTTCAGAAGTCACCTGTGAGGCACCTGGCAAGTGGAGTTCTGGGTTTCCTCGCTGTGGGCAGATTTCCTGCGGCTCTCCACCCGTCATCCCCAACACATTTATCAATGGGAGCAGCTCTGAAGATGAGAACACCATCATCTATACCTGCTTGACAGGTTTTATCATGAAGGGGAGTCCGGAACTGACTTGTGTGGAGACTGGTGTATGGAAGAAGCCATACCCAAGCTGTGAGCTGTTAAGTTGTGGCCCACCACCACCTGTCCCAAATGCAGAGATTCTTGGGAACACTTACACCTATGGGAGTAAGGTCCAGTACAGGTAAGGATGATGCTGCTATTCTGTTTTCATAAAAAGTCGCTGAAGGAATGGAGATGAAAGGTTAATGTATCCTCAGTTAGTGCAAGTTTTCACATGCTCATATTGACAAATCTTATGTTCCCATGCACTCTATGAAATATTATTTGGATGACTTGTGAAAACTCCAGAAAGGTATTTCAGCCTGTTGAGCTGCACTTCTCCACTGACTTTAATTTCCCATTTGCTTTCCTCTTCTTCTCCTCTGAAACACTGGTCTCAACATACAGGTTTTGTTAGCAGGTAACAGCAACAGCCAGCAGAGTATGCAATTTTTCTCCCCTTTTGGCACTGTATTCATGCTTTCCTTCTGTTTCAGGTGCCTGTTGTAATACATATGGGCTCATCTCTCTCTTTTCCCATTTTCTGTGCTGCAACACTGTGCTGTCAGCAAGTCAGATACTGCTGTCAGCAGTCCTTTGTCAGATACAAGAGTGAGGGTTTTTTGGTTAATGTCCTGAAGTGTGTATGCTGCAGAGCTCTTTCCTCCAACAGGAGGAATGCCTTATCAGAAGAAAGATGGTTTTCTGACAGAAAAAACAAATAATGGAATGGGACAGAACTAGGAGATGGCAAGTGGATGAATTTAACAGTATCAGTTATTTCTATGAAGCTTTGACGAGGTGAATGGGTTACTTGTCACTGTCATTCTACAAGTGTACCCACTTGTGATAGCTCTTGGTAAAACACCATGTGGAATAGAACAAATCAGCCTTAAATGTCTAAATAAATGACCTGTCGTCAGCCTGAGGATTGGTTTGTTCTTGGAAGAAAGTGAGATCATCTTTAGAATTACATGGTGTTCCCACATACTGTTTAGCTCACCAAAGACCCTCCATGCAAAAGGAGGGGCAGTGTAGGAGCTGTACTAAGGCATTCAGTACCCTTCAAGCACTAAAGCCACAGGCTCACTTCCCGTTGTGATGCTGCAGCAGCATGAATCAACCGGAGATTAAGTCTAAAGTCTCCAGCTCTTGCAACAGAATGAACCCAGTACAGACATGATCCTTACAGGCTTACCTTGAAATAATAGAGAAATCTCAAGGTATGCTTATTAACAACTAATGCTGAAAAATTACAGTCCTGACTTTCTAATTTATGGGTTAGCTCATTCCTAGCTGTGTCTCTGTGGTCAAGTCTTCATGCTGTGTTGCAGATGCCTGGAAGGCTACACAATGGTGACAGAGGTGGATGTATGCATTTGCCAGGAAGATGGACAGTGGTCTTCTCAAAGTATTTCCTGTTGGCCCAGGAAGTGTCCCCTGCCAGGAAATATCACTAATGTAATGGTACTTGGGAACAACTTCACTGTGAACACAAGCATCACTTTGTCATGTGTAGAAGGCTATGTTCTGGTGGGAGCAAGCACATCTACATGCAAGGTATAGTTTTTTTAGCACTGTTTTATTTTGATGGCTTTATTGAATTAGGAGTCCTTCTTATACTGTTGTAACCTTTTGGCCTTTAATTGGACACAACAAAAAAATTCAAAGCGTATCCTGCAAAATATAATATGCTTACTTGTTGCCCAGTAAGAACAATTATTAGTTTTCTATGCATAAACCCTCAAAACTAGAAATTAATGATTTCTTCTTCTATCAAAAGCTAATGCTGTCCTCTTGTAAAGCATTTATGTTATCACATTTCAGGCATTAAATCATGTCTGCCATTTTAAAAAATTACGTCTAAGATTTCTAATGTATTTTGAGGATTGTATACAGAGCACTTTTTCTTCAGACTACCAGGCAACACACATTTTAATCCACTGCACACCTGTAGAAACTTGAATCCTCTGTATGCTAAAGAACAAACATTCTCATCAGTTCCACTGTTAATCTCTTGTTACATTAGTTGCGGACAACTTTGTCTTAAGCTTGTAAATAGACTTTTAAAGTCAGTAAGTATGCTTAAATGAGAAGAGCTAAGCATGCGTGTTTTTGCAGAATAAGCACTTCACAAGGAAAGGTTTTCCCCTTATTTTGGGGAAGATCTGTTTGTTTCAAACATCTCTGGAAGTAGGAGTAGGTATCTTTGACAAGTATTTATTTAGGTATCAGACTTCCCTTAGCAAGTCAGGGAGGCAGCTGAAGCACTTAGTCGTGGTGTTAGACGTTCAGCCAGGAGAGAAATACAAAACTTGAAATCAGGCAGATGTAGTTTTCTTTCTCCTAATGTGTTCCCTGAGCAATTAGGTGACCTTCTACAAATGAACTTGCTTTTCCAAGCTGCTTTTTCGCATTTTACTTTTTGTTCCTTCTATCTTTTAAGTCTTAAGCTAAGTATTCCTGCCAAGGTTAAGATCCAGTCTATGTTGACATCTTAAAATCGTTACTTAAATTACTGAGTTTTATTAAGAATTTCATAGATAGTATTACATTAACCACATCTGTAACCCAAGGCAATTGGATGCTTCTACTATAATTTTTCATTTTCATTTATATATGACTTAAGCATATAAAGTGGGGCCTTTACAATTCTCATTACATTCATTTTTCAGGAGACTGGTATGTGGGTGCCACCATTTTCTGATGATATCTGCATTCCTGTGTCCTGTGGAACCCCAGAGTCTCCAGAACATGGATTCGTGGTTGGCACTAAATACAATTACAAAGATGTGTCTTTTTATAAATGTGACTCTGGCTATGAATTACAGGTAAGTAAGCTCAAATCTCCAGCACTTTAAACCTTGTCATTTTCAGTTCCTGTATGATGGCTGTGGACTGTCTGGTCCTCATTGATGTGTTCCCTTAACTGGCACAGAAGCCGGATATCTGCTGGTTTTGTTATTGCCAGTGGAATGCTCCTGGTATGACTGGAATGGTCTTGAATGACTTAAGAGTATAATTGAAGCAAATATAAGAATCCTATTCAGGGATACATGTCCAGCAGATATCTTTCAGTGTTGGGCTTTTTTTTTTAACGGAAGCCCTCTGCAAATACAGCATTATACATGCTTGTGACCATAAGTGATGGAAGAGTTAATTTCTCATGTATTGCTCCATTTACCTGGTTCTTGGGACAGAGTGAAATTGCATTCTTCCTTCCATTTCGTAGTGTCATAAGCATTATGTCTGCTGCATTGTGCATTTCAGACTTAAAGCTCCTAATAAACTCCACTGCCCTCAGTTCTATGACATTGCTAGATAGTATTAAAGTGATATATCAAAGAGATTCCAGTTTAATGGCAGCTTTATTCCCTGATGGAGAATGAATCAAAGTTCTTTCCAGTGTTTTTATTATGGCTTTTATCCCTACCTGAGCTCTGGAGGAGCACTGCTTTCCTGGTATCAGGACTCAGGCTAGCGAGTTCAGAGCTGCCTCAGGTGTGTTTTCAAAAGCTGCAGTGAATTTAGAAATGCTGAGCATGACCTCCACCATCCCCAGGTGATGGCAGTCATGAGGTGGTGAGGTGTTCTTAGGACAGAGGCTGGGTCTTAACACTGGTTTTGTGAGCACCAAGCAGAATGCAAGATATTGCTTCCTTTGTACTATCATAACATCAGTAATAAATTGAGAACTTCACGCATGTGAATTCACTGAGAAGTTAATTCACTCAGTCACTTGATATAAGAATAAGAAGAATTTGGAGAATGCTTAGCTAACAATGCAGTTATTTTTCATTATCTTGCCAAATATGCAATATCACTAGGGATGGAGGTGTTGGTATTTGGACAGAAAGGTAGAGTTGCTGTTTCAAGTAATTTTTGGAGGTACTAAGCCTGTGCTTTCATACAGTAGCAAGTTCTTCCAAGTTTTCTATTCCAGTTTCGCCATCTAGTGTCAATCTGTCTCCCTGCTGTTTAAGAGAAGTTCTGTTTTTTCCTTTGTGAAGCAAAATCCATTGGGTGTGATATCATACAACAGTAGTCATACAACAACAGAAATAATGTCATTTATAGGCAAATTTAACAAATGAGCGCTTGGGATGTGTTCAAATCATCACATCACATTTATAAAACACGAGCTTGTACTGTTGTTGAAAAAATTGCTAGTTAGATTTCCTGTGAGTACTGGAAGGAGAAAATTTGTCATCATGCCACATGCCTGGGAACAAGAATGGTAAAACTGACAAATAAAGATGATACTTCAGGAAGAAGGACAAGAAAACTAACTGGTCCTACAAAAGTTTGATTTAGAATCACTTTGCAGGAAGTTCTACCCAAGTAGACTTGAGCTGTAGCATTTAACTTTCTCTTTACATGGGTTGCATGTGAAGAGAAAACCTCTTCACTTTGCTAGATACTAAAGTTGACGGGAGAAAAGAGTTAACTAAGTAAAGTTGTTCTTTGAGCGTTTTCTTTTCTTTCACAGGGTGATGCAGAACGGACTTGCCAGGAAGACAAACTTTGGAGTGGCACAGTGCCGGTGTGCAGAAGTACGTTCCACCTGAGTCTTATCACTTAATGTTGGTCAAGGGTGATATTACACAACAGAAAACACTAATGCACGTTTTGCTTTATAACTCATACTGTCTGCATTTACCTAAAAATTTTTGGTAAGTACCACTGTTAACAACCTGGAAGAGTTGCAGAATTACTGGTATGTGCAGGTAGTAGTGTGAAGGAAATCACCTTTCTGCCTTGCTCCTGCTGTCTGCTCTGCAGACAGCTTCCAGGTTCAAATAGTTTTGATGCTTGAGGTCATGATTTTTGGGGTCACTGAGGGCCTCTGAACACATTAGTTGCCAGCAGTCACTGGTACTTAGCATCCTCAAGTGTAACTCTATTAATTCTCAAAGGTACTTCACTTCTGTGAGATGTCACTGGCTGCAGTGCCAAAATAGGAGTTTCTACATAAATGTTTATATGGACTTCAGCTGTTGGCTGAAAGTGGCAACAGTTCCTTGAGGCTTCCTGCCAGCACAGCCACAATAGATTTTCTGTTTAGCAAGAACTGGAAACACCAAGCACGATTCTGTTCTGCTACTCAGTATCAAATATCTGGCAATGACCAGACAACTGCTGTGCTCTTTCCCTATTTCTCAGAGTAAAACCTGTGGAGAAGCTGTGAACAAGACAGGCCATGTATGTTATGTTTGATTGGAAAGTATTGCTTACGTTACAGGAGTATCATGTGGACCCCCAGACACGATAGAAAATGGATCTGTTCAGGGAGAGGAGTTCCTGTTTGGCAGTGAAGTTTTTTACAGCTGTGACTCTGGCTTTGAGCTACAGGGACCAAGCCGAAGGATTTGCCATGTTGACAAAAAGTGGAGCCCTTCTGCCCCTATATGCATCCGTAAGTAGCAAGCAGCGCAACATGATGTCCAGGAAATTTAAGAGCGCTTTGGCTGGCTTCCTCTGTCTTCCCCTGCAGCAGGGGGGAGCTGTAAAAGGAGGAGCCAGGAGAAAAGCCAGCAGAGAAGTTATCATTGGCAGCTCCTCACTGATCTGAAGGGAGCTCCTTTTGGCACATTAAAATGGCATAGAGTTGTGCTCAGGTCAGTAGAGTGGGAGTGAGGCCTGCTGTATTTGACTTGTCTTGCACTGTATTCTGCGGAGCCTTGGACATCATGTTTGTCCCTGCCATGCCAAAGCTAATATATCCTGGCCACTTCTGAAGACCACGACTGTGCTCCATAGGATCAAATCTTGGATCACTGTGCAATAGAAGATGGCTAATTGTGGGAGCAAGGAAAGAAGGATTTATTACTTATTTCATACAGCTTATAAATAAAATGCCAATTATAGTCTTTACAAATAAATGATTTTCTATCTTCTCATGGTGGTATCATAGTCCTATCCCTTGCATTCTTCTCTCTCACCTTTGATGAATTTGCCTGGTCTCCACAGTGTGGGACAAGGGGTCAAGATCCTTCTTAACTAATGTCATCTTGAGATGATCTTCTACTGTAGGGGAGCAAAGGAGACCGCAAATGCAGCATCTGGCCTACTCAGAAGAAATATTCCACATAGCTCTGTTGGATTGAACACCTCAGAGCTTGCAACAGCATCAGATACATTTGGGCACATTCTCATATGTCTGCTCAGTGTGAACCCGAGGAGAAAGAGCAGGGAAGGCATTGTATAACTCTTCTCCACATAATAGTTCACAGCTTCTTGCTTGCTGTCTTTCCATCAATTCAGTGTGTGAACAGAGCTGTCAGACAGTGTGTAACTGACAGACAGAATAGCCTTCATTGTGTGTATAAACCCCAAAAGTTTTCTTCTCTCCTAGAAATTACTTGTGGGCTGCATCCTTCCGTAGAAAAAGCAGAGGCCATTTCTACAGGAAGCACATACAGAAGTAATGTAACCTTCATGTGCAACTCCGGATACCATCTTGTTGGGCCCCAGAATATCACATGTCTTGCAAATGGGAGCTGGAGCAAACCCTTGCCATTGTGTGAAGGTAACTGTTCAGTTTCATGTCCTTGCGCATTCCGATCTGGGATAAGCAACAGCTCCTCCCTTATTCTTGCATAACATATGATCCAGGGATTATGTTTCTAGAAATTGTTCTGTAATGTAGGGTTTCTGGATTATCTGTCAGTATCAAGAAAGAACATTTTACATGTTCTGCCCTACTGACCCTGTATGAAGCCATAAATGTGTCTTCTCTTCCCCATCACTGACACATTTTACTGACCTGAAAAAACATAAGACTGCAGCTTTTCACCATACTGGGAGGAGCTCCTTCTCTGGCTTGGCTGCATTTCCTTCCCTGGGCTACTGAACTCTCCCTTAATGTTCTTCATGACTTATTAGTCTGTGGCTGCTTTAAACATATTGTATGACTAATTTAGGAATTGTTGGAAGTCCGGGTCTAATGTCAAGCTGAATTAATGAGACCTCTGTCTTTGCAGAGACCAGATGTAAAGTTCCAGTTTCCTTGATGAACGGGAAGGCAATTTATGAAAACAATACAGTTGGCAGTACAGTAACATATCTCTGTGAGAGGGGATACAGCTTGGAAGGAGAATCTGCAGCAGAGTGCACAAGAGATGGAAGATGGAGTAATCCCTTACCTCTCTGTAAACGTATGTGTTCACTTTGTAATGGAAAAGGGGTCTTCATTTGTAAGTATTACAGGCTACTCTTCCTTTAAACTGGCAGTAAATCAAAGCAGCTTTCACAGATCTTTGTGGAAATGCCGTGTAATTTTGTTCTGGACCAGCCATGAGCAGCATTTATTCTTGTACTTTAAGAAATAGGTTTGGCCTAAATTGGGAGATTTGTTGGTGTGCATCCCGTTTTTGCAGAGGAACAAAGGGAACACCTTCTATTTCTATTGCTTTTCATATGATTTGGTTTTGAAATCCACAGAAACTGTTCTAAAGTGTTCTCTTCCTTCCATCCCTTTTTCTTCCCTTCTCCTTTTCCCTCACGCCCTTTCTTTGAACAGCAAACCCTTGTCCTGTGCCTTTCATAATCCCAGAGAATGCCCTTCTGTCCGAGGTGGATTTTTATGTTGGTCAGAATGTATCCATCAGGTGCAGGGAAGGCTACCAGCTAAAAGGGCAGTCTATGATCACCTGTAATGCTGATGAGACCTGGACTCCAGCAACAGCTAAGTGTGAAAGTAAGTACAAGACATGCAGTTCCGCAGGGGTTGGTACTTTCCAGAGAATTTGTGACCACAGCTGTATCACACAGGAGCTTGGCAACACAGACCTGTCAGCAGAGCTCTCCACCCAGATGCAGGCATTCTGGAAAAAGAGAGCTTTTGTTTGCCATTGCCCTATTGAGAGATGAGTCACTCTGAAAGATCCAGGCACATAAAGATTACCTAAGAAGCTCTATGGAAGAGTTATGTTTTCTTTCTTTGCAACAGAGTTACTTCTTTAAAAGGATCCAGAGTACATCTGTGTGGGTTGGTGCCCCAAGAGCATTCATCCTACTATCTACTAGGCCCTTCTGTAAATTTCTTCTCAATTTACCTTTTGCAAGCCCTGGAGCTAGGATTTGTTGTTGGATACCATAAATATCCTAAGAATGATTCCTGGGAGATTATGAGTGACAAGACAAGAGTTGTAGCGAAGGTGCTGCCTTTTATTTTATTTACTGATACCGACAGAAGACGTCATGTCCTTTTGCAAGCACCTCTGAAAGTCTTTTGGCTTCTTGCAGGCAATATTGTTTAGATATGTGGAATCATAGAATGGTCTGTGTTGGAAGGGACCTTAAAGATCATCTAGTTCCAACTCCCCTGCCATGAGCGAGGGTGCTGTTCACTAGATCAGGTTGCTCAGGGCCCCGTGCAACCTGGCCTTCAACACTTGCAGGGGTGAGGCATCCACAGCTTCTCGGGGCAACTTGTTGCAGTGCTTCACAACCCTCTGAGTAAATAATTTCTTCCTAACATCTACTGTAAACCTGCACTCTTTCAGTTTTAAAGCATTGCCCCTTGTCCCATATCTATCTGCATTTGCAGAAAGTCCCTCTCCCTCCATTTTTATGATTCATTAAGATACGGGAAGGCTGCAATGAGGTCTCTCTGAAGCCTTCTCTTAGCCATGCTGAATAACCCCAGCACCCTCAGCCTGTCCTCATAGGAGAGATGCTCCATCCCTCTCATCATCTTCTTGGCCCTCCTCTGGACCCGCTCTAAGAAGTCAATGTCTTTCTTATGCTGAGGACCCCAGACCTGGACTCTGCTCCAGATGGGGTCTCACAAGGGCGGAGTAGAGTGAGATAATCACCTCCCTTGATCTGCTGGCCACTCCTCTAGTTATGCAGCCTGGGATACAATTGGCTTTCTGGGCTGCAAGTGCACACTGCTGGCTCATGTTCAGCTTTTCATCCATGAGAACCCCAAAGTCCTTCTCCACAAGATTGCCCTTGATGACTTCTTCTCTCAGTCTGTGAGGGAAAGTGTAACCCACGTGCACTGCTTTGCACTTGGACTTGTTGAAGTTCATGGGGTTGTCATGGGCCCACTTCTCGAGTTTGTCCAGGTCCCTGGACACCCTTTTACTGATTTATCATCACAGGTGTGTCTCTGGCTCCTGCCCTGGACAGCATTGTGTCCAGGTTTAGAAACTGTATCATGCAGGCATTGCAGCTCACCTACCTGTGGATTATTTCTTTTGTTTAGAGATATCTTGTGGTCCCCCAACTCACATAGAGAATGCTCTGATTCGTGGTAGCTTCTATCAGTATGGAGACATGATCACCTATTCATGCTACAGTGGGTACATGCTGGAGGGGCCCCTGCGGAGCATTTGCTTAGAAAATGGAACATGGACAACACCACCTACCTGCAAAGGTAAGACTTTTTTAATGAATAGAAGCATATTTTAACTTTCTGTAAGCACAGAGCTTAGCTGCAATAAAAATTAGATTGAAATTTTTGCTAGTTTCAGTGCAGTCATAGTTTCACTCAGGGCATTTAAAGTCCAGGTTGTTGCTTTATTTCCAAGTGAGAGAGGGCTTCTACAGTTTTGCTCTTAGTCCATGGTAATCTTTTAGTTTCTTTCACTACAGTGTTGTATCACAGAGGGAGGATCTTTTATACTGTCATTGTTTGTAAGAAAATGACAGAACCAGCCATCTTTTTGACAAGCTGAGCTGTTTCAGATAAGCGCTGCCAGTCAGTTTTTCCACAGTCAAAAATCAAGCACTGCAGAAAACAAAATAGAACAACTGGGTGCTTAGTCCCTCACTATGTTTAAAGTGTGACAGCTCTAAAAATTGATTTGCAATAAAACAAAGACAGATTGATACAGCTCACTAAATAATACACACTAAGTACTGATAGAAAATCCATGAGTTTAACCATGGATTACCAAAACCAATGTCTAGCCTGTCTACCCTTGACATACCAGCAGGTATATGTAATCTTTTGGTCTATTGAGCTAAAACATTCACTTGTTTAAGTTACAGAATTAACTCTTCAGTACAGAAGATTCAAATAAATAAAAAGTTTTGAACAGAAAATGGGGGAAACAAACACAAAACATATGAGACAATAAACGCAACACTTAAAAATAGATATAAGCGTATTCAAATACTAACTTAAAACCATGGAGAAGGTGTAGCAAAAGGGTTCCGGGCTTATAGGGAATTGGTGGAAGAGATATTGCCATCTACCATATCCAAATCAGAAGCTTGACTAGCCTTCTGCTGATGAGTTAGCTCCACCATGGAGTCTTATTGGGGAACAGCCACCATATGACAAACTGACCTTTAGGTATTTTGTTTAGAAAGCAAAAAACCTTAGGACACATCAGTAGCCAGTCACAAGAAGCCCCATTCTCTAGGCTTGAGAACTCACACAGAAGAGAAAAGGTTCCAGAACCCTCACCTGGGAACAGTGGAGCCATTATCCGAGTTGTCAGTTTTGTATCTCCTCCTGCAAGTCTCAGCTCCCCATGTCAAAATAGAAGCAACAATTCTTCCTCCCTCAGTGATTTTCTGTTTAGGTCAGAAGCCCTTTGGAGGTGGAGGATTCTATACTGTGCTAAGCCTGACTAATCAAGAACCCCTCATCAGTTTCTTTTTTTTGGTACAAATTCTGACAGCAAAATGTTATGAATGCTAAGACCTAAGCTAATTGAGTTGCCCTACTCTATGAAAGCAGGCACTCTGTTAAAATTCTGTATCTGATTATGTCTAAAAATCACTGATCAGTTGGCCATTTTGAGGAGACCCAGAGCCAAAGAAGTGGGCTTGTAACTCCTGAACATTTCAGGAATCGAGAAGCTGCTCCTGGAAAACTGTTTTCTCTTGTTTTTGTAAACAGGGCTTGCCATTGCCATTAAGAATCACCCACTGAGTAGCCAAGTAGAGAAGATCTACAGTAAAAGCACTAGAGTTATTTCAGATGTCATGAGGTATCCAAAAGTCCTGTTAGAAATTTACATTCTCAAAGCACCAGGCCATTTTTGAAAAGTTTGTAAAGTTTGAAAAGTATGTCTTCATTTCTTTCTAAACTGTGATGGCTACAGAATTCAAGGGATCTCTGCATAATAGCTACTCTGCCTAAGATAGAATTCACTAGCAAAATTATTTGGATATTATCTCTTTAAGATTGTGGCACTTCAAATTCTTCAACTGCCCCTTTATTATCGCCAGCATTACTTTTTGTTTTTATTTAATATTTATTAGTTACACAGAACCCACCTACGTTATGCCAAGGAATGTAATTTTGTGCTAAGAGAGGTTCTTGACAGTGGGTATCAACAACCAGGAAGGGCTGATCTGCAAAGCATTGTCCTGTTTGCAGTAGTGTGAAGTCTACTTGGGCTGTTCAGAGAAATATGTATTAGGGAAAATTATTTCAAAAAAACAAAGTGATGAGGTGGATAGAAGATGAGGGTGGAAAACAAAGCAGAATAACCTGTGTATTAAGGGAGGGGAATAACAATTTGCCCCCTCTTTTCACCTGAAAGGGGAACTAAAAAGAACCAAAGGGGGAACTAAAAAGAACTAAAAGTGTTTCTGAGAGGACTGTCCTGCATTTTCATGATACATGGCAAAATAATCTTTCAGCTGCTTTTTAGTTCATGTGAGTGATTTGCCTAACAAAAGTCCTACAGGACCCAAGCCTTTGTGGTCTACATCAGAAGCAACATGAAAGCGCTCTTTGTAATGACTCATGCTGCATTTCTTGTTTATGGCTGTATGAGTTGATTATTAATGTGTCCTAAGCCTGCTTGGAATGTTCTGTCCTGGTTGAACAGGTTAGTTAACGTAAATATTATAATTAAAAGCAGACTTCGTTAACTTCTTAGGAAAGGCTCTCACCACAGCTGCACTTGCCTGAATCACCACTGGTTAGAGGTTGCAGGCCAGATTCTGATCTGAGTTTCAGGGGTGGAAGTATTAGCCTGGATCTCCTGATTGTAAATACCTGCAGGACTCAGCAGGCTGCACAGATGCACACAGCTTACCTGACTCCAGTTTTTTCTTTCTGAAGTCCTCTAGAATCTGTCTTTGTCTGTTTGCCCTCTGCAAACATCTTGCTGACCGGGAGTGGTCAGTGTGGAGCTGCCAACCAAAAAGTTCATACCCCATCAGCAAACAAGAGCATTATGAGAGGGAAGCTGAGGCCTGGAGGAAATTGTTCACTTGCAGCCACAGGGAATCTTTTTGGCAAAGCTGAGAACAGATAAGAGAACTTTTTTCCCCATTCTTACCCATGTTTGTCTTGCAGCAGTGCAATGCTTCTGTGTCCTGTGAAGATAACTCACAGGCATGGACTTACAAGATCTCAAAAGATTGATACCATGGATGTGAGATCTACTACCCGTAGCTGAAGTCACAATTCATGGTTCCTATTCTCTCCACAGCACATCAGGACTGCATTTGCCTTGCTTGCTTTTACAATAGCCAAAAAAAAGATAATGAGATCCCAGCGTAACTTCCAGTCCTGTGCCTTTCTCTAGTCTTGTCTGTCGAGTTAAGAATAATCCCCACAGCTACAGACAAATAGTCCAGACAAATAGTCTCTGCTTGCCTTAATTGGTGTATAACAAGTGCACACCTAGGGATGATACTGTCTCATTCAGTTTCACAACCAGGACCTCAGCAGAAATCCAGGAATAGCCTGTCTCTGCCTGAGATCCTGGATTGCGCAGTGGCATGGAGTTTCTGTAATTCATAAAAATTTCTGTACAGCAGTTTCTGTAACTCTTGGAATATTTGCATCTTCTCCCTTGACAGAGAGAGAAAATACATTTTAGAGACCATTTTTCCTGGGCTTTGAATTTATTGTGGGATATCATTTCTACACAAATCTTTTATCTCATAACCCTTTATACATTCATGGGATATTGTTTAAGTGGTGTGGATCACACAAAGCTTTAGGTGGTGTTTCATTGCACAAAAGAAATCTGTTTGGCACGTTATTCTGCTTTAGTCAACACCCAGCGACAAGCTGTCTGTGTAGTAATAGATATTTTTACAACAAAAATTTTCAAAATCGCCGTTAAGATATTGCAACTTCTGCTAACCTGCCAGAGCCCAAGGTCTCTTCCCATTCTCATTATCAGCTGACACTTGATGGGAAGGCTCTTGAGATTGAAAAGTAAAATGGCAGAGCTTTGGCCTCATTTCAACAGAATCCAAGATGTAGCTTGTAGCTTGGCATGGCTTAGGTCCAAGAGTGACTCAAGTTTGGCTCTATGAGGGGAAGATTTGCATTCTTTCCAGTGTGAATTTCAGGTCTGAACAGTGTTTCAGTGTGCTAATCCACTGTCTATATTTAATACTAATATTGAACGTGATCTGAAACACTCAAAGCCTAAATGCATATTTTGCTCACCTAGTAACTAATTAAAGATATGATGCAATTAGCAGTTCAGATTGAGTTTCCTGAGATTACTCTGTGCTCATAACTACCACTAATTAGATGTCAGTCTGATTACTTATTTGTTCTGCAGCATCATCTTGAAGCCACAGTTTTTGATCTTCATAGTATGTACACCAGCACATAAAGGATTGTACTTCCTTTAATGATCTTTATGTCTAACATGTTTGTACATAGCTTGTCACCTGATTTTGTAAAGTAGTCCTGGTTTCCCTGGATATGTGAGCCAAGATAGGGTGAAATGTTATAGAAAAAATGATGAAGTCCTAAGTCTGTTCCATCCAGGCAACATACTAGGCTATCATGATGGAGTCCACCCCAGATTCCTCACTTTTATGATCATGTGCTTATTAATAGGTATGCAAGCCAAGCAGTCACACTTCGGGTTCCAGCATTAAACACTTACTGTGCCACTGCTGCACCCGTTTTGGTCACTTCTCATTATGCTGGATGATAGTGCAATAAAAATTGCTTGTTCTGCTACAGTGTTTAATTTTACTTTCAACAAGCCTTATATTATGCCAGACAGCGTTATCTTGGTGTTTCATACCAAAGTCAGAAGAAAGCGTGATTCTATTCTAGAGTTAAATTAGAAGGCATGGGGGGAGGGGAGAGGAGGGTAATAGTTTTCTATGAGATAGGATATTTTTCTTGTTTTACAAAGATTAGTGGGGAAAGCAGATAAAGCATAGCATCAGCCTTGAAACATTGTCTAAGTAATTCACCCAATTTTGCTAAAAACATCTATGTTTGCATTCTTGTCTTGGACAATTTTTGATTGTCTTAGTGGTTCCCACACTCTGGCTTACAGTACCTAATCAGACACACAGAGACAGAAGTAGCCCTTGAAATGAAAATCAAATAATGCTTCTTTGGGAAGTGCAAATGCGCTTGTTTGTTCTGCTCTAAGCTTTACAACTGCAAAGATCTGTGCAAGATGCTGAATGACTAAGCTTCTAATTCACCGTGTTGAGTTTGTGATGAAATTGTATTGTTTTAAGCTGTCTGCCGGTTCCCGTGTCAGAATGGTGGCGTCTGTGAGCGACCAAACGCTTGCTCGTGCCCAGATGGCTGGATGGGTCGTCTCTGTGAAGAGCGTACGTATATCATCCCTAAGTGTAATTTTAAGGATGTTGTAGGTAAGACAAGTGAATTCAGTGCAGTGAACCAGCTGGAAAAAATAAAGGCATAAGAGCCAAAACCAGAAAAATCATTACTATATTCTCCTTGACAAATGAAAGAAACTGGTGGCTTGCTTCTATCCCCTGACATCTCCAAACCAAAATAAGCACTTTTTTAATTGATGTGATTTTGTTTGTGGGTACTCTTTCACTATGGTTGAAGAACAGATTGCTTCAGTTTTCCAAAGTCTGTTTTTAGTAGCAATACATGATAGTTTTGGGGAACAGGGACAAGAATGAAAGAGATATGAGTGTTCTACTGATGGCTGCATTACTCTCTTGGCTTCCTTTTCTATCAGTCTATGATTATGAATCTGATCATTAATGTTCAAATAATGCAACATGTCCCCTTTTCCACACTGTCCTTCCTGGTCTGCGTACCTGTACCCCACAAATTCTGGGCTGGCTTTTCATGTCATGGTCAGAGAAGTGGATCTGTTCTGGCTAAAAGAGTAAAATCTGACTTAGCTCTGTCAAAGATTCCCTGGGTGACATTGGGAATACCAGTTTGAGCCATGTTTCCCATTTTCTTCATGGTGGTCTTAGCACAAGGAATTTGGGAGGTTTAGCCCTTTCATGTTGGCATAGCTGCTGCATGAGAAGTCTTATTGCTGTACATATAGTAAGGTATAGGTCTCTGTGGATAAAAAGGGAAAGTACCCTTACTGTGTGTAGTATTTGGTATGACCGTGACATAAAGCTTTAGCATATCTAAGAACATCTGCAGCAGGGGTGGTGTCACTGTCCCTGACTCTGAGTATACATGGAGACCTACAAAAACATGTGCAGATTCTCATGTAGTTCTTGGAGAAGAATGTGGTTCAAGTATTTAAGATGTATCACATCTTAAAATGGTCCTCTGAATCAGCCTCTGAAGTTTTCAAGTCTTCTCTGTGCAGTGTCAGTTCCACATGGCACAAAATACAGGTATGATATGATACAGGTTTTGTCTTTCTACAGTTACAGAAACTCCAGCTATGTGGTGCATTCACACAGCCCCTCTTTTTCTGTGCCTGTGTTGTCTGTCAGTATCACCATAGCCACACATGCAAGCTCAGCCCTGCATGTTTCAGTTTCAGCAGAGGAGGATTGAGACTTGTGTCTGACAAAACTGTGTTTGGTATCCCACAATTGAGTTTATTAGCTTACCATCAGTAGTGATACTTGAAGCATTCTCCAGGACTAGAGGGCAAATTTTTTTGTCCCAGTCATTTTGATCTGTTGTCCCAACTCAGACCTTGACAGCTGACTAACCAAGATCACACTTCATGCAGATACAGGCGCTAGCTCTCTTCTATTTTTTTACTTTGGCATGGGCAATTAAGAGAAGGGAAAAGAATTCCTACAACTGGTTAGTGCCACCTCAATTTTGCAGCATTGCTTGTCAAGCAAGGTGCACCAGTGAACAGATAAGATAGGTTTAGTCTTTGGTGTTGAGTTCTGGAAGTCAAAGGGATTTTGAGCACTGATCTCTCAGGATAAGGCCACAGTGAGTTCTGACAGAATTCAGTCATCTTGTAGTTCACAGTAAATTTCACAGAAAACAAGATAGATTAATCTTCCTGAGAGAGTCCTGACCACTCTAAAAAAATACACAGAGCACTACTAGTTTAATAACTCATACAAGTATGTCTCGGTGATACAGGTTAGTCCTGTGAGCTCCATGGGAGTTCGCTATTATTTTCTTGTCCAGGCTGACTGCATCTACTCAGCTGGCCCTCTGCTGTGCAGCAGAAGAGGAAGAACTCTGCATCAGTGCTCTGCAGCTCCCACCCACCCTCCCAGTATAAAACTCTACTGAAAGTGCCACTCAAGGATCCAAATTTGAGACCCAGCTCAACTCTTGCTCTCAGTAGAGCATTTTCACACAAGTACTTCATTCATTTAGGGTATTGGAGATGATAGTTTTGTGAAGGTACTTAAATCATAAACACATTGAACAGTTTTGCAGATGTGCTCACAGGAGCAGCATAGCTTGATTGGTGCTCAGTCCAGAGGCCATCAGCTGCTTGGTGTATACTTTGTTTTTTTCCCGGAGCTTCCAGCTGTAGCCTGTTTCACCCAAAATGCCTTATGTCAAAGCCATCTTTCCCTGCGGATCTTGTGGTGTCACCTGTCGCAGCACATTTTCACTGGCCCAGACCAAGTGCTTTCCTGTGGGCAAGGCATAGATTAACTTGTTTTGGATATTACATTGTGGGAGCCCAGAGAATCCATGCATGAACCGATTTTGTTAGCCACCATCACAGAAGTGGGCAATGTCTATGGATATTACAAGTGAGAAACAAGCAAACAGCCCTGGCTCATTTCCTGTGAACACAGAGCCTACAAGCATCTGAAGGACTCTAGCAATTTCCCCATTCTGTCCATTTCTTTGTCATTACTCTTTCTCATATCTGGTTGCCATGCCAGACATATTTACTTCTGCCTTGTGGGTAGATCTGCTCAACTCTACTGATACTGCATGCAAACACTTTGAGGGGTAGTACAGTCTCTAATTAAACATAAGTTGTTTTCTCGAACACTTTGTTCTTTATTTTCATGGGAGATAATTCTGCCTCTTCTCCTTAGCAATATGTATTCTGCCATGTCTCAATGGAGGTCGCTGTGTGGCCCCTTACCAGTGTGACTGCCCCCTTGGATGGACTGGATCACGCTGCCATATGGGTAAAACTTTTTACCGTGGTTTTTTTTTTGCTTTTTATGACTCTACTAGCAATAATTAGCACAGTTCACTAAGGACTTACAGAACTCCCAAGCTTCTCACAGGAAAACCCAGTCCTGCAATAACATTCCTGGATGATTTGCTGTCCCCAGCTGTAAACTACTTTCTAGGAAGTCCCTGATGATTCTTTAAAATGCCCAGAAAATCTTGCTTCCAAAAAGGACAGATAGCATTCACAAGCAGTGCAGACAGCAGAGGATTTCCAAGAAAAAGAATAAAACTAGACTGTCCATTCCAAAATGTATTTGAATTTCATTTTCATCTTCAGTACATGCAGGTCACCATTAAACTCACAGACAAGCTGCAGGTACTACACAGGTTTTTCACCACATAGCTGTCTGGTTTGGTGGATTCCCACTTATTGCCTGAGTACTGATGCAGGGAATAGAGCACAGCAAAGCAAGGATTTGAGGGTGGTTGAGTTTAATGGGCACTTGGTATCTGGGTACTTTACTTTAGGTATCATCTAAGTTCTCTGAACAAATTTAACATGTGCTGCATTTTACTAAAGATCTTCCTTGCACCTAAACCAAGTCTGAAGGGCATGGAACACACAGAAATAGTGAAGGGTAGCGAGAGGAGTGATTCTAGGGTCCAGATTTGTGCCCTAGCAAGTCAGCTTGTGTGAGATGAGGCTGACTGCAATTATGGATAATATTTGAACTCAAGTTTGGAATATGTGGTTCCATATCAAGACTGAACAAGTGTCAGTTTTTGAAACACTTGTGCCTGTGAAAACAGACATAAAATTCAGCAACTGAGTGATCACTGAAATGTCTTTCAATCGTTATTAAATCTCAAACACCAGTAAATATTAGCTCTTCTCAAAAAATTATTTTACATTTTCTTCACTGTATTTTTATTGTCCAGGTGCACTTTAACTGATTTTTAGCAGAGACTTAACATGAAAGCCTAGTTTTGCTTTCCTACAAGACTTTGAAGTGGCTGATAGGGTGAGCTGGAGGAGGAATTAATGCCTGTTAATGAATGTTTGTATTATTTGTTTAACGGGTAAGAATAGTGAGTCTGGTGGATAAGCTGTGTGATGCACTGCAAATACAACTATCCTTCAGCAAATTAAAGTTCCAAAGTGAACATTTTAACTCTGAACTACTGTCTTTTGAAGGGACTCTTTCCTAGAACATAATGCATCATTTCCTCTCATATTTCACAAGCTTTGCAGCTATAATAGGTGCTTAAGGAGGATAGATGGCTTCTTAGCTTTTGGGTCAGCAATTCAGATCTCTTCAGGCTTGACTTGTTTTTCAGCAGCTGAAGGAAAAATTGTAATGAACAACTGCATCTGCGTCAAGGCCCATTCATAAAAGCTCATAACCACTGCTTATGACATTTTTAAATCAATTCGTGGTTTAGCTACTGGTATTGACATTTTGCCATAACAGAGAAATATTTTGATTAACTGATGGTCTCACAGGAATAATTATGTGCATAAAGTGAGAGCTAAAGATGTTTCACTCATATGCTTCATTCCAGAATCAGAAGTAATTTTCAACATGACCTGCTTGGTGCACTTAACTGCATAGGCATGATCTATCTCTATAACCTCCTACCACTGTTCTTGTTTGGCCCAGAGTATTGTATTTCTATCTCCTTTTGCATTCCTGTGATTACTCATTTCCATTTCCTGTAATTCCGTATTAATCAGTGTTTTCTGATGCATATTCCTTGCAAAAATATTACCCTACGTTTGTCCTCACTGGTATCTTTAGGATTGTCCTCTACATATGCCATTATTGGCTTAAAATTCTTTCTGTTTTTCTGCAAGATAAATGTCTGCATTTGAAGGACCTCATTAAGTGAGTCTCCAAATCTGTTCTGTAAACTGTGTGCTTCTTTATCTTTCAGTCTCAAAATTGATAGGAAGACTTGAAGGTTTGACTTTTGTTTGGTTACTTGGTATCCTTGGGTTTGACTGTCACACAAAAGCATGTGCAGACATTTCACTGCTGGGTCAGCACGACCTGTAGGGCAGACTAGTGTTTGGTCTCTAATTCAAGTGCCTTGCAATACCTAATCTCACCTCTTCGGGCTATCCAGTGTTTTTCAGGAACTTACTGTCATTCTCTGCTTCCTTTCCTTGTCTCCATGCAGGTGCCATTTTGTGAAGTCTTACTCCTTGTGTGCTGTGATCTGCAAAAGAGTTTCTGACTTTTGGCTTCTTCTGCTTATTCTGTCTATTTCTATACTTTTTTACCATGTCTAGTATCTACTTGCCCTGGCTGCTGTTTAGCTGTCACATTCCTTTCAAAAAAACATTTTATTCCTAGAAATTCTCCTGTTCATCTTCAGACTCTTGTAGTCCCTCCTCCTGCTTCCACTTGCATTCTTTTTTTTTTGCTTTAATTTGCGGCAAAAATAACATAATTTTTAAGCCAATGTAAAATTATACACTGTCTGTTTCATCCAAGTCATACACTCCAGCAGATAGCAAAAGCAGTGGAAGTAGTGAAATCACATTCAGCAGAGGTGTGCTTCTAAGGCTGCCCTTTCCAGAGCAAAACATCTTTCACAACAGACTGACAGCTGATGTTTAATGTTGCAGTTTTGAGAGCAGTCCGTTCTTAACAGAATAATGTCAGATAGATTTTCAGTGCGCTGTTCCTTAATCAGCTTGCTGTGGGTGTGCTCATTAATGCAACTTTGTGTGTGTGTATTTGTATGCAGCTGTTTGCCAGTTGCCTTGCTTAAATGGTGGGAAGTGCATACGACCAAATCGGTGCTATTGTCCCCCATCGTGGACTGGACATGACTGCTCTAGGTAAGTGTTGCTGAGCACTATCCCATAGGTAGGCTGAATCACACCCTACTGAACTCTAAGTATGAAGAATGTGCTATTAATGTTGAGCATCTCTAGATCCTGCGAATCAGTGACCTTTAGATGGCTCATGATTTATGGGCAGTCTGGAAAGACCTTAGAAAGTACTCTGCAAAATAATTGCCAACCTTCCAGAAAGGTTTACTTGTAAGCAGACAGGCACACCTGCAATGTTGAGACTGATTTTTCATAGTGTAAATGTAAGTGGGTTTTTGAAATGTAATACAGAATGTTCTTCAGGAAATTTTGGTGGCCTACTGTTTACTAATGTTCATTTTGAGCTGTATGTGCCTCAGCTGGGTTCGTGTTTAGGACTAGGGTCATGCAAACAGATGTTATAAATAGTAGGTCTTCTTATACCCAGTGTTTAGTGATGTAATCATCTAAAGAGTACAGCTCTGTGCCCCTGAGGCAAGTCCCAGTTCTAATCACCTGGCAGCGCTAAGGCCATGAAACATGTGCAAGCAAAAATGCTTATACTTCGACTCACACAGGCTGCTGCTGAACACATTGGCCATTATTCTGGAGAGCTAAATAAGAACCAGATGAATATTAATATTTTGCTCCAGGAGACAGACGAAGCCTGTGACATTGTAATATTTTTCTAGTCTTCTTTCTGGACAGATAGTGACAGATGTTCCTCCCTATCTCTCTGATATGCAATTTATCTTAAAGCTGTAGAAAAGATGCTTGCTTGAGAAACTGTATTGTCCAAAATGAATAGTTTTCATTTGTCAGCTGTGATTATATATGCCTTAGTGAAGCAACTTAAATGTATTGCCAACAAATAGTATCCAGCTTTAGACTAAAAGGTACACATCTGAAGTTTAATAGTATTTCCATTTAGGACATGAAGCAGAGAAGCCCATATCCAGTGGATATAACAGCCGAAAATAATGGATTTTATTTCTGAGGCAAAGCAAAGTTTCAGGCTATTACCAGACTGGACTCTTCTTGTTTTGTCATTTTGCTGGGGTTTTTTGTCCAAGTCCATAGCTGTGTGCAGTATTGTGAAGTCTGAGAGAAGAAGGGTCATTAATCCTGCAGGTTTGCGGTCTAGCAGCTTGTCCCTTCAGGAACTGTCTGAGAGGAAGTTTCCCAAACAGAGCTAGGTGAGTGAAGGGAATTAGGACAGAAACAAGCACTGAGATCTGTTTCATAATTTGTTAAACTTTGGCCTCATCTGCTTGTGGTTCTTCATGGGGTATGATACCATTTTGAGGACTCAAAAACCATACAGGCAGAACAGGAGTAAATGCCATGAGAGCAAAGATTTGCTGTTGCAAGTTAACAAGGTATGATTTGTAAGGGAAAGCTAAAAGGGCTAAAAGCTTTTATCAGCATCCAGGACAAGATTAGCTCTAAACCACCCTGTGATGAGCCATGACTTAAATTAAATGTCAGATATCTCTGTTTCCCATGCCCAGTCTCTTCCCCTATCAATATGCCATATTAAACTGTGACACTCTAATCCCCGATATAAGTTAAGACACCATCCTCTTGTGCCTCACTGATCATCTTGTTTGGTATGTTCAGTACAGCACTGATTTTATTTTGTTTGGGTTTTTTGATGCAGGAAACGGAAGGCTGGATTCTATCCCTTTTAACATCAGAGCAGCAGTTCTACATTCAGATATCTTTCTTCAGGCTAGGCACCATTGGAATCTAATGCATTGTAAATCAAGTCCATTGCTTCCCTTCCCCACCCCCAGCTCCCTTGTTTTGTATTTTATTTTGTGATACGTTTTTACAATACCTTTGAATTTTTAAAGAACTCCTCTGTATTTTTCATTTACAAAAGTATTATCAAATATATGCTGCTACACAGACATCATACACACATACACATACAAATGTAAAGATTCCTACAGTCCACTGAAGGGTTGTGTAAAGTGAAGTCCCTCCCATTTCTTACATACAGTGAGCTAATTAAACTGTCTTATACTGCCAACTATGATTAAACGAAATGTGGCAATTCTGTTTACCAGCTGCCAAAGCATACTACTGTCCAGCAACTCAACAGTAAAGAAGTGTTACACAGGGCTAACTGAGCCACCAAACTGTGCATTGGGCCTGTTTCTGAAGTTAAGTTGATATAAATTATAACTACATGTGATAAAGTCTATATTGTAACCACAGTTTCTGGTGAGCATAAGAAGAAGATTCTGTAAAGTATTTTGTGTGACATCAACTTAGTTGGAGAGTTATTTAATGGGAGGCATCGGCATGAATTTTACCTGAGATGTCTTGGTAAAAATGTAAAAGAGACAAGACAATATCATGTCATTCAGCGAAAGATGGACCAAGCCTAGCCAACAAGAGCCTTTGAAGCTTTTTGGCCTACAGGCAGTTCAGGTGTAGCTCTAAAGCTGGAAAATCTAGGATCCAGCAGTGGGAAGCAGGTGGACCACTGAAACTTGCACTTTCTATTTGCCATGGGATTCACCACTGGCTTGTAACCACCATCCCTTTCCTGTGCAAATGAAGTACATATCTAGCAGCTATCTGCCAGGTGAATGATTTAATAATACCTGGGGTTTGGGTCCCAAAGTTCAACTGCCCTTAAGATGGAGGGAGAAGGCACCAGTTGCATTTACAGGTGAAACTTCACTATTTCCTTGCCAAAAGGCTGTATTTTTGTTATGCGGAACCCTCAGAAAACTGGAAAAGGACTCTCTTGAGTACACACATGGGCAGAAATGCTCAGCTGGCTGAGAAATACTGAGAGCACACATGCTGTCAGATTTCTTATTCTCAGACTGTTGATCCCATTGCATCTGAAGATAGCACACACCTGAATGCCATCATTAAGTCATGCTCTGTTGAACTGAGATGCTAAGATTTACGTATGATTAAGTAGGGTGGTGGAATTACAAGGCAGAAATCACATGCATTTTTCAAAGTCACATGTTTGGTAATTGTTGTCAGTTAGCAAAAAGTCTGATCTATGAAAGAAGTCGTTAAGAGTCAGAACCTGAGAGTCATTCATCAGAAGCTCCATTTTTCCCAGTAATAATAGAAAAGTGTAACTTACAGTCAGCATTGGGAAAGAAAAAGGAGAAATAAATTTCACCTTCTGTAGCATTCCTGCTTAGTTACCACCCCCCCGAATAAGAGTGCGCACAACTGCCCCACTCCTCCCCCCTTTATAGATGTACCTTCCTTTTATGCATGAACTTGTATACAGGAAAGTGATACTACACCAAAATGAGCTCACAGTAACAGGGCTCTAGTAAATACTGACACATAACTGATGGCTGTTAGCCCAACACCAGAAATGGGGAAGAAACAAACAAGTGAATTTGTGAGCCAGTAAGAGCTTTCAGCCAATTAAAAGAAAAACAGAGAGGAAAGAATAGGAGTCATTAGGGGATCAGATTAATGTGAATGTAGATTCCTTCTCAGTGGGAGCTGCAACCAGCTGAAGAGTTGTGGTTTTAGCTCCCACAACCTTCTTTTTCTAATGGACTCTGCTAGCACGTAGCAAAAATCTCCTGTCTCCCAGCTCCACAGCCACCGATGTTTACAGCTTCAACTGAAGTTAGTGTTCAGTAAGTAATGTCTGCATTTCAACCCATAATCTCCACCATTTGTAGGCACTTTGTTCCTTAAACTCCTTGCTGCCTTAACAGCAAATGAAGGGAAACTGCAGTGAGCCACACAGGACTTCTCAAGGGAAAGAGTGTACAAGTGAGAAAAGCAGATCTTTATTTATATGTCATTCTCATGGTTTTGTCCCTTTTCCAGTGTGTTTCTCTGGTATGTCCCCTGACTCTGCCCTGGTCATCTCCAGAGCAGAACAGCAGTGGTGAGGAGAGAGCTTAGAGGTGGCAGGACATTGTTGGAGAGTTAGGGCTGCAGGATGGCTTTTAGCACCCCAGCTTCACAATAGTGACTAGTACATGGAGTCCCGAGATCAACCCAGTCAACAAGTTTCATAAGGAGATGTGGTGTTAGGACAGAGTAGCTGAAACTAGAAGCTGTTATATTAGTGTTATTGATGATGTTTTGATACTTGCTGGAATACTTTCCCCTCCCTACCCCTTACTGTATTGTCATTTATGTCACTGCTTGTTGTGTGTTTTAAACGACTTCCATGTGATGCACTTTACACTGTAAATAAAGTTGCACCCTGTTTAGTACCCATATGGAGACAAGATTGCATTCTTTTCTTAATGCCTCACAACAACAATATTAACCTACTCTTTAGGACCTTCTGGCAAAGCCCACGTATCAAGGAAATGCAACTCCACTCAAGGGAAAACACAAAATAATTGTCAGCAATCTTAAAAGGATGTGCTGGATTAGTCCAGATTTGATCTTCAGATAAAAATGCACTTGGCAGCTAATTTCTCAAATCCTATCTGCTGCTAGGGCATATTTTAAAACCTGTAAGGGCCAGGTTTTAAAACCTGTAAGGGCCAGTCTCTTTACCACTGGCATAAAGAGATGGATTAATACCTGCTTCGCTCACTGCTTACACCTGATGGAGATATGGCTTGTTTTGTACTGCACCAGTACTGGAATTTTTAAAGCTATGGGGGCACCATATTCATGGAGAGATGAGGTAAATTTGTACTGTAGCAGAAAGAAAACTTTGTAACTCAAACACCACTCCTCCAAACAAGGACTGCATATGATATAACAGTCAAAAGATTTAGGGTGTGGAATTTTTGGAGGTAATATTGTAAGCCTTTCGATGTTTTGATACACAGGCATCAGTGGAGACTTGGAAGTGCAGAAGGCGGTCAGTGTTTCAAAGCCAGCAGCCCAAAAGGTGGTGTGAGGTTACAGACAGTGCTGTTAAAGAAGCCCTGAAACTTGATGTGTATCTTATAGAAAAGATAGAAATTTACATCTCAAATTTGCAGTACTTTAAATACTGGTGATAATCCTGAGTGGGAACAGCTGGGCTGCCTTTGCATGTGGACTCATATCTTGTGCATGCTGTAGAAATACAGAGCACTGCCTTATTTAAAAGGAAGTGTGGTAAGAACAGCCTCTTTCCCTGGCCCTGTTCTCTTTGTTATGAAAATTCAACAAGCTAAAATGCTGAAGGGAGTCTATTGACACCTGTGTCTCTCTGCTTGGAAATACATTGGAAAAGGTTTGAGTGTTGTCTCTCATCTCACAGTGGGGCACTGGACAGGGTTAATGTGTGCCAGCGATTGTTACCTTAGCAGATTGAGCAGTGATCTCTTTTGCACCTCAGCACAGGACAGTTTGTGCATCTCTGAATTGTTTTAGAGCAGTTTGGATCCTCACTGCAGAAAGGATCCCTAGTGCTTTTACCGCACTGCAGATTCTTTTCTGGGAGAGCATACCCTGACCACACATTTCCTGCAGCGAGAGATGGGCATTGCAGTACCCAGAGGCAGACCAGGTAGAATATGCAGTACCATTATTGATCTATTTCTCCAAGGTTATTTCCATTCATGCGCGTGATGCAGAGCACTTCTTCACGTATCCGTCCCATTTATGGCAAGCTCCTCTCCCAGGAGCCAGGCTGCACTTCCATTAGCCTTGCTTTGTAGGCAGACATGTCGCCAGTACCTACCAATATCAAAGTCTGCATGCCTACCACCTCTCCCTGCTGAGCCTGAAGCACTAAAAAAGCTGATACTCTTCATAAGCTGATTGAGGTGGTTCTTCAGTGCAGGCTGGTCCATCCTGCCAGATGTCACTCATGTAGGTGGACAGTGTGACCACTTTGTGCTACAAGAAGCACCATGCATGGTCTAATGAAACAGACACTTGAGTTTCTTCCAGTGGAGAGGCTGTGTCATGACAAGAAAGTCAATTCAAGTCTTCCCATTTTATGGGTGAAATGAGCCCCTCCTTTTCCACTAAGGTGCTACAGATTTTAAAAAGACAGATGAGATTTAAACATGATTATCATCTTTACTTATGGTAGGTGTTCTGCAGATGTCATTCGCACACCTCATTCCTAGCTCAGTGGACCACCACTCACCTTAATCTTTCCAGTTTAGTGTCTTTGCTGAATGTAAATCCTCCTCTTTCAAATTTTCACTTGCAACCAACATCTGCTGAACAGATTCTCCTGAAAACTCAAGTTCTCTCTTTATCTCCTGAAACTTTGAAGCTATGACAATGTCATTCGGCCCAGACCAGCACCAGTTCTGTTTGCACCCAGAGCTTGTGTGCATGGCAAAGGCCAGAAAAGGAGGCTGCTGTGCAGGGACAGGTTGTCACTGTGATGCTCCTGTCCTGCACCACCTAGCAGGCCAGGAACATGGTAAGGACTGACCCTGCATCTCCACTCAGCACTCTTCTCTCCTTGATGACGATTTACTGTGCTTTTCCCAGCAGTCTCAGGAAATCAGTCTGTCCTTTTGCAACCAGGTGGTAAAGAACAATCACAGCAGTCTGCCACTCCCTGCTCATCTATGCTCTGCAAACAAACCCAGGGCTTTCCCAGTTGGCTCTTAGTCATGCCTTCACCTCCTTTCCCCTCCTAACTGCTTCCACAGAGCAGTCCGTTTATTTTGCTCTGTGTTCAATATCCTGGCTATAGTGCTTCCTTCACAGTTGGGAGTGGCATAATTTCTTGCAGCTTACTCAGAATTGACCAGGATTCATTGGATATGAAACCAGCAGCCTCACTGGCTGGGAGGGAGGCACAGTGGGAGGGGTGATGAAGCTGTCCAACTGATGGTGCAGGCAGGCTGGCAGGCTCTGCAACACACAGCAACAGCCCTGAGAAGCTGAGCTCTCCTCCAGCTGTTGCTGCCATGCCTTGCCTTGCCTTGCCTTGCCTTCCTCTTGCACTCCCTGGGCATCCTTTTCGTTTTACAGATACAGGCTATGTTTGCCGCTGTAGGGGGGGGGGGTGTGTGTGTCTGCATTTTCCAGACAGACACTGAAAGTATGGATCTGAGGCACATCCAGATGGGCTTGCAGTAGCTGGGGAGATGATGCTGCTCCCTTCTCCCCCTGCTCTGCAGCAGTCTGGGTTCATCCAGTGGGCACCTGCCCCATTGCTGTGGCTCACAACTGATTTGTGCAGCATTGTCCATGGGGCTGCAGCTTGATAGACAATGTCATGAGCAGTGTCCTGGGATGGTACACAAGACACAGGAGTCCAGCGATGTGCAGAGATGCCATCTACCTCTGTGCAGAGTAGGCAGGTCCAAAATATTGCTCAGTGCCAAGGGAATTATAAAGGGAATTACTGTCCTTGGCTGTTTCTGGAGCGCTCTAATGTCAGTTGGGAGCCGCCGAGCCACACAAAGCACCAAAGCCAGGCTACATGACCATCCCCAGCTCAGCCAGGGAGATAAATGATTCCCCAAGCAAAGGATTGATTCACAACATGCTCTACAAAAACCAAAACCTCTCAGTTGGACCTTATCCTGGCTCTGCTGCGGCCTGTCTGCTCTGGCAGAAGAGGAGTGCAGCCAGGCACTAACACCAGGCGCCAGGCATGGGAGCCCAGGAAGGGCCATAGTCCATCCCAGGGAGTAGAATATGGGCAAAAGTGCCTGCAGTCATTATTGGCAGTGTTGAACAGGGACAGCCTTGCAGCTCTGCCCAGGGAGAACCTGGGCATGACTCCAGACCCGCGTCACCTGGCATGGGGCATTAGGGGAATTCCAGTAAGGGAAAGTTTTTCCATGCTGGCAAAAAGGGGATGGCAAAATGGGAGACTGTGTGGTATGACAAGAAGAGAAACCTCAATCATCATGGCTAGTCTTCACGAACGAAGTTTTGGGAAGGGCTCTACCCACGTTTGTTACAAGTGCGTTGGTGGCTACAGAGGCTAATATGAGATAGACAAGTCCGGTTGCAAAAGGCACAACAGAAAGACTCCTTAGATGGTAAATTCTGCAAGACACAATTCTTTCTGCATTGTCTTTTCTCCTCAAGAGTGATTCTGCATGCTTTCTCAAAGGCATCAGCAGCGTTATAGATGGTGTGTCTCCAGACCTCCCAATTGGAGGCCAGAGTAGACCAGTTATGTAGATCAAAACCTCAATAAAGCTGCAGTTTAGAAAACACTTAAGTATTTGTCATGTCATACAACCATTAAGGGTACTTAGCTGCACCTATGCAGTTAAAAACAAGTTTAAGCATTCTTCTGGACTGCGGCCTTAGTCATTATGGAATTATAATAAATGTGAAAAACTGTGTCTGCCCTACAGACACTGGTGAGATGCTGCTAAGTGCCTGGCACTGAATATTTGCTGTCAGCTGAATGCAGAAGGCTGATAAAAGAGATGGCTACCCCGTCAGACCAGATGTCTGGTTTGATTTTATTAAATAGCTTGGTTAACAATCTGGTGTAAGGGATAAACAGCTCATTAATCTGTTTATTTCAGGGAAGTGCTGTAAGCACCTATGAGAATAAATTAGATGAAGGATAATCATATTAAAGGGAAGTGATGTGAAATTAAAGTTAGAAATGACAAGTCAGTTCTTCCTGAGGTAAAAAAAAATTAATGTACCCCTGGGGACTGAGGTGAGTGTGAAGGCAGGCTGATGTCCTGGCTATTCCCACCCACACCTACTTTGGGCTTCATGCTTGGGAAGAAGCAACACTGGCGGAGTAGTAGGCAGGAGAGAGAAGAGCAAAACAAACACCAGCCCACAGCACAAGGGGGATGCAACAATAGAGCTTCTGTGATTTTTGTTTAATCTCAGTTTTGGTGCCACAAGGTTATGATTTCTCTCTGGCTAGCACCAGTGAGATAATGTTGCCGCCAATTCTGTGTATGCTGGCATATGAAGCTAGCAACTTCTGGCAGCTCCTGTCCACATGGGAGGATAAGGAATGTCTCAAGGGCTGGAATCATGACACTCTGAAACAGCAGGTAAATAAGGGAAGATAAACAGGGTCAGCCCAGCCCTCCTTCTCAGAGTGTGATTTTGCAGCCTAAATGTTCTAAAAGTATAGGGTTCTCCTGATTTCATCCCTGGTAAAACTACATAAGCCAGACACAAGTGGCTGCTGTGTATAAATACCATGTCTGAGGACATTTCAGAGAGAAGTCACTGAGTGTGGCTGTGGAGATATATAAAAAAATAGGATTGAAAATAAGTAGAGCAGATATCCCATTGCACCAAAAAGCATATGGGCTGGGCTTTCTCTGAGAAAACACTGGACTTCCTCAGTTCAATTAGTTT